GCTGCCATCTGTCACATGGCAACAACATGGAATGGAATATTGGTGGGAAAGCTCAAATTCTGCTGCCATACCACCAACATCCACCTCTGACATCGCTGGGCAACATCGTAAAATAGGAGGCACTACTTTCAGAGCAGCCTCCACATAGCTACACAAGCACACAAACGTGGATCTAAAGAAGTGACCGATCTCCCACTAACCTTTTTCTTTCCCCACTGACTCCTCCCATCCGCTGATTTTGAATCCCCTGCCGTCTCTTAACACTTAATTACGTGTTTTTATGGTGTTTCTCTTTTGGCAACGCAACACTGTCACAGCTCGGTGTAAGCACGCCTCCCGCTTCCATTCCTGCTAAGCGTTCGTTCCGTAGGTAACAGGTTACGTAACCTCGCTCTGGCTTCTTGCCTTTTACCCAAGGCCGGACTCAGCGCTGCCATGCTGGGCCCCAGCAAGCCGGGACGGCAGCACCGGCAGCGCACGCCACATCACTGCAGGACCGTACGAAGCCGGCAGCACCGGTTACGTGGTAGGCAGGGCACGCAAAGCAGGGCCTCGCTCTATACCTACGCTTCTCCTCACGAGCACGGCAACGGGGAGCCCCGCACCCCAACCCACCTGTCCTTCGCCCCGCTCCACGCCACAGCTCAGCTCCGCCCCTTGGCGCTGCCGTTTAACGGTCGCGCACGCGACGCGCTGCAGTCGCCCCCTGCCGGCACGGCCGCGCGCGACGGCGGCCATCTCCCGCCCTCTGATTGGGTGCCTGCTCTAGCCAATAGGAGCCCTCTCACCGCCCGCCCGCTGGGTGAGAGGCGGAGACTCGTCTCCTTTAATCCCGCCTCCTCCGCTGCCTCATTGGCTGGGTGGCCTACCGGTTACTGCGCGGCCTGCGGCGCTCCGTCTTCCTGCTGTGTCGCAGTGGCAGCATGGAGGAGCTCAGCGGCGCTCAGCTTATCGCTGAGGCTCTCAGGGCGCAAGTAAGAGCGTGGCGCTTATGCTTTCTAAGCCGTCTTTTGGGAGTCGTTCTGATCTCTAACGTTTCCATTCTAGAATATCGAGTACATGTTCGGCGTTGTCGGTATTCCGATCACTGAGGTGGCAGTTGCGGCACAGGCAGCTGGAATCAAGTACATAGGGATGAGAAACGAGCAGGCTGTAAGTATGCCAGCTTAGATCCCAGGAGTCACGAGTTAGCTTCAGGGACTGTTTTGATGGCATGACGCTGGTTTTGCGTTTGGTTTTTATTTCCCAGCAACATCAAGTTTATACCTAGCTTTCAAGAATTGCTCATAGATTGCTCCTGGATGGCTCACAGGTGGTCTGCCAGCTTTCCCTGCTTGGATTTTCACCTGTGTTCTTGTCAGTCTTCTTTAGCTGGCGGTAGAGAAAAAAACATTTCTTTCTCTCCTGAACCAAGTGGCCATGAGCTGTGTCTTTCTGCTGTCTAAACCCAGCATTGTTATATTAATGAGTGTGAGGACCCGGAGAGGAATATGTGCCTCTACGTGGAAGATCAGTCTCTAACATGAGAGAGGCAAATACATACTGTCATGTTTTAAAGGTACATTTGGTTCCTTTGAAGGATTAGGAATTTGATATTCTTTATATTCCCATAGGTCATTTAGCAGCTATTCTAACTTCAGTTTTAGTTATTAACATGATTAAAATTAGTTTAGTAGTAGTGTCTGTAATTAACAGAGAAGATTGCTCTGCACTGCTAAATTAGATGCTTTCCTACTTATCACTGCTTGTTAGACTATTTTCTGAGAACAAAGAAGGCAAGAAACAGCTTTCTCTATAAATCGTAGAATCATAGAATGGCTTGGGTTGGAAGGGACATCGAGGATCATCAAGTCCCACCCCCCCCACCTTAGGCAGGGATGCAAGCTGCTAGATGAGATTGCCAGGGCTCCATCCAACCTGGCCTTAAATATCTCCAGGGATGGGGTATCCACAACCTCTCTGGGCAGCCTGTTCCAGCACCTCACCACTCTCAGCAAAAATATTCCATTTACTTCCAGTAAATAGTGAGATATTTTTGCTTAGGGGAAGAACAATATTGCAAAGACTTGCTGCAGTGTCAAAATGTTGAGATTTCTTTAATGGCATCTTGTGATGGTTTTTGTTTTCTTGATTGTCCTCAGTGGAGAATTTGGCAGTGAAGAGAGCAAGATCCTTGTACACACAATATATTCAGTGTACATTTAGTATTTATGCATCATAGTTCTAGTTGTCCAAGTTTATTAATTGTATTGTTGTGGTGCTTGTGTGTACAGCTCTGTACTTCCTGTGTAGGTAAAGGTAGATGTCTGTAATCTGAGATGTATGGAAATCAGATGCGCACCTCAGTTTAAGACTAGCTGTAGCAAAAGCACATTTGCAGAATAAACTGTTAGATTAGAAATGTCAGACTAAAGCATGAAGTTGAAAGCTCGTTGACACTGTCAATTATTTGCAGCTAATCTCCCGTGGCCTGCAACATGGTACGTATGTGCTAGTAGTAGTTTAACTCATGTCCCACTTGGCCCTTGAACACTGGGTGGTTATGTTGCAACTCAGCAGGGGCGTGAGTCTTTGCCTGAGTAATTACAGATTGCTGTGATAGATTCAGAAGATTGATAGGTTAGTTTTAAACTTAAAAAACAACAACAACAACAAAAAAAACCCTATTCATTAACACACATTGGTAATGTTTACCTCTTTAACAATAGTTATCACTAGATACTTAAAGTAGTCTGATTTTGAGAATCATATCCTATTTATGTCATGAGTATCCAATATACTGTAGCTAGTGCAGATGCTCATAGCTGCCAAGGATTGGCAGAATCTTGAGAATTCTTGAGAATCTTCCAGTAAAAGGAAGGAAGCAAAACAGACCTCTGTTTTCAACCCCCATTGGATTCACGATCTCATTTTGTACAATCTTTCCGCCTTGGAACAGTTTAGAACCCTTGGCCTTCCTGTCTGGACTATGGACAGTGCAGTACTGGATGGATGTTAATTTCTCAGGTCAGGACAGGTGCCTTCCCTGTTACACATCTGGGTTTTTTTTGTCTTTTTTGTTGGCTTTTATTTTCCCAAGCTGAGGCACTGCCACTTTTTCTAAAGCAAAAGCACAGCCTCCCCAGCTCTCAAAGCAGCACTTCTGCATTGGCCAGTAATTGGCCATCAGCATAGTTGTTTACTATTCTGGGACCCCTGCTTTCAACCTGTAGGTTGAAAGGCCTTATTTTCAAGGCCTGTAATTAATCTGTTCATTGCAATAGAATCTGACATCACGTACTAAGCATGAAGCTCAGGTTGGTGCAGCAAGATTTTGCAACACACTGATTGGAAGTCCTACTGCCAGTCCCAGTACATCTAGCATAAGGGGCTGCAGGGGCTGCTCCTTGACATGTCAGTATTGTTTTTACTGGACCAGTGTGTTCAAAAACACTTAAATCTAGTTTACTAGTTACGTTATGTTAGTTTACTTGTATTTGAGTTGAAAACAGGCTAGTATTTAATTAAACCCTCCTTGTCTAAGAACAGCAATCCTCTGCTTTGGCTATCTTTCAAACTCAGTGTTAACATGAGTAGTTTCAAATTTGAAGTCCAGTGCCTGTATCTGTTCTACCTGCATTTCTTGCTCATGTTAATTTTAAGGTTAATGGACTTGATGGTCTGTAGTGTCCCTTCCAACTTGAGATATTCAGCGATTCTATCACATCTTTGTAAAGGGAAGGGCAAAGGGCTGCTTGAAATTCTGTTTAAGCTGTAATTATCAGGGAAACATCTTTACTTGCTTAATTTCAGTACTGCTGTTGAATGTTATTTACATACCATGAAATGTGCACGTGTTAATAATAACTGTGTAACTCCACAATATTTTCCATAGGCTTGTTACGCTGCATCTGCTGTTGGATATTTGACTGGCAGGTAAATTCTATATTTATCAACATTTATAATGATATGATTTGTATCAACTATATTATATTCAACAGAAGCTTGGTTTGGAGTTGGGTTTTTTTAGTGTGTGCAGCTGTAGAACAATTAAAATAAAACATCAGTTTTAAACTATTTGTCAATACAGTTATCAGTATTGGTACGATTCAGGGCAGGAACAAAGAGATGCTAAAAGTTGTCTAATACTGTGAATCTTATAACTGCCTTAAATTTTTCTCTCTTGGTTTCTTATGAGTAGTTTAACACTGCTGGTACGAAGGGCAGAACTAACAGCCATTGTTTATTGCAACTTGGTAGACTTGCTCTGCCATACCTTAGTCTTGTCATATCACTCCGCAAACACCTTGTTGATACAGAGACTAATTACATGGTTGCCTGTTTATCATGTGCTTCCCTTGACGCGAAATGCTGGATTTTCCTCTTCTCCTGCATTTTGCTCTTAGCACTGCTGGGAAGCATTCTGTGGCCTGTGAAATGAAGGGTATTGCTGTTTGGGTATCCTATGGATTTTTTCCTGAAGTCAGCAACTGGTGTGCATTTACAAATGCAGACTTGATGCAGATGATCAATCCTTTTCCTATCTGCAAGTATTAGAACTGTTTTGAGGTTTTTCTTCCTTTCAGTAATCCTCTAGAACTAAGCTTTTCTTTTTTTCTTCTTCTCATATCTACATAGCCCACAGGACTGTTGGAAAATGCCCAGTAATTAAGAATGATGATTTTTATCTCTTTATCTGGAATAAGACATGCCTGTGCTTGATTTAGACTATAATAAAGTTTGCTTTGAGTCAGATCCTTGTCTCTCCTCGTGAGCTCTTTTTTTTGATACCCAGTGCTTAAGTGGAGTTGAGACAACTTAGGTGGCTTACCAAATTCCACGTAGGCATTAAATAAAAAAAACAAAGTGCTGCGTAATCACGATGCTAAGTATGATAAGCCACCATATGTTTTGGACCTGTCTGTGGGTAGCACGTGACAACTGTTCCCTTGCTTGTTTATTTGCACTGGTAAAGATAAATAATTTCTGATTGCATTATTAGTCCTTCCTACAAATCCCACGTTGTTCATGCATTTTGACAACATGAATAGATCTTTAATATCTTATTTTTCAACATCTTACTAATTTTTGTTTGTGATTAATTGGATGTTTACTGTACTCACTTTCCTTTTTTCTTTCTTTTTTATTTTTCTGTCCAGGCCGGGAGTATGCCTTGTAGTTTCTGGTCCAGGTTTTTTACATACCCTTGGTGGGATGGCAAATGCAACCATGAATTGCTGGTAATTTAATTCCACTTTCTCTTTAAAACTCTTCACTGTCATTTGGTGTAGATATTGAGCTCTGCACTGTTTAGTATATGACCTTCTTTTCTTCTTGTAGGTAGCGAGTAGTGAATTCTTCATTTGTGCCCCCTAAAAGTAACTTAGTTCAGCTTTTTGTATCCTCATGGATAAGTTTTCCTTTTTGTCCTATCCTAGTATGTTTTTATTGAAAAGTCTATCAATATACCTTATTACATGGATGCATTTGAAAATGAAGGTAAGATACAGCCTGTAACGCTTTACTGAGTTTTGGAAGAATTTCAGTTTTTTCTATATTTGAGAGCCATAATGCTCATGAATTACTGTATTTTCCATATTTCATGCATGAACAAATTGACAACTGCATTGTTAAAATCTGCATTTGCTCCCCACACAGAGCAATATATATGGTATATATCAGATGGTATAGGGCAATAGCATTTACTCCCACAAACCTTCACTGAGATGTGGCAACCTTAGCTGGTCTGCCCCTACAAGCTGTTGAGAATGCTGCATGAAGTACTTGGGCAGAAGCTGTGTAATACCACGTACGTGTGACCTGGAGAAATAGGTTTGTAATGGCTGATTGGAAAGGGAGGGTGGGTAATGGGAGCTCAAATAAACAAAGTCTCTGACACTGAAAAAAGTTCTGCAGTGTTCAGAATTATTTTTTTTTTGTAATTTGTCAATAGTTATTGACCAAAGTTTTGCTGACTTCAGATAAATAAGTTTTTCTTTTGAACAGTCATGAATTTGGCAATAAGAAGAAGTGTTTATGGTGCTTGCTGATGAGTTTACAGGACATGTTGCTCTTTTCACTCAAGCTGATTTTTGTATGAGATAAGCTCTATTTACCCAACTTCATCTTGTGTAAGCCTCTATTCTTGGCAAAAGGATGAGGGATTGACTTGTTTACTTGAAGACATTGTAGTAAAAAGGAGATGGGTTTTCACTGAGCAAACCACAATTTTTGAACAGGCATTTTTCCATTAGTCCCACCAGTCTTGCCTTTTGCCTGTTACGTGCCTCAGGGAGAGAAATAAGCATACATGAGAGCTAAATTCAGCTTTATGAAGGTAACTTTCCTTGGCTCTTTCATTATTCAGAGCTTCCACTGAATGTTAGAGTCTCAAAAGTGTTTTCACCTTTTCAGTTGGCATTCCTGGTGAAAGACATGGTGCTTTCATTCAGAGAGGAAGACCAGTGATTTTTCTGTGGAGTTTACTGATGAGGTTTCTAGTCTGTTTCACTAGACACAGCATAGAGACTTGGTCAAGCGTTAAGGAGATAAGGTGTTAGAAGGGAAGAGAAGCCAGGAAGGAGAGGATCACTTCATTCAGTAGCAGCTGTTCCTTACTCCTGCTTAATGTGATGATGAAAACACGAGACATGCTAAGGTGCGTGGTTATACAGTCTAATTGTCTGTCATGAAAAGGGACGTAGGCCCAAATATTCTCCCCTCATTGTAGGGCAAGATTAGAGTTCACTGTTGTGTCTTGTGACTCCATGGCATTATACCTGGTTTTGTGACATGCTGCTGTGATCTGACTTTCAACTTGCTTCTCACAGAAGTGGGCTAATAGCTGAACTGGCCCCAACAGTTCCGACTTTAGTAACTAAGTGATAGTCCTTAAAGCTCAGTCTGAGTTATCCTCCTCGAGCCTGGAAACCCATTCTTCTGATTCCCCTCTGTTTAGCTCCTCTCAGGTGAAAAAACTCTTATGGATTGACTGGAAGAAAGTCAAACACTGACTGACTGAATAGAAGTGCCTTAGTTTACCATGAAAGCTTGTCCCACCAAGCTGTCAGGCATGTAAATCAAGACAACTAGGTTGCAAGTGGGGCCTTGGTAAGCTACATTTCCGAGGGTAAAATGTGTTAAAAATTACCTACAGCTCTGCCACCTTCTCTCCTGCCTCATTCGGAGTAAAAGTGTTTGTATTTCAGGCTGTAAAAGTAGTCAGCAAAAAATAATTTGCAATAGTTTTAAGATTTCATTAGACTGGCATGGTGCAATACTGTTCTTTACCTGAGGTTGCAGTTAAAATGTTTTTTCAGTTTACGTAAGTTCTTCATTTGCAAATCTATAATGCTTGGTGCTCTTATTAGTTTAATTGTAGACATTGTTCTTCCTGCTTCACTGTTTGGACTTAATTAAATCTAACTAGCAGTAATAAGCACTGCTCTTACAAATGCATACTGTTGGACCAGAAGCATAGTGTGGTGATCGCACAGAGTGAAACCTCTATTTCTGGTTGCAGTTATGTAACTCAAGCTCAAAGAGGGTAGATTTAAGTTAGATATAAGGAGAAAGTCTTTTACAGTGAGGGAGGTAAGATACTGGAACAGGTTATCTAGTGTTGTAGTTGATGTCCTGTCTCTGGAGACTTTCAGGGTGAGGCTGGATAGGGCCCTGGGCAACCTGATGTAGCTGTGGATGTCCCTGTTCATTGCAGGATTGCTAGGTGGTCCTTAAAGGTCCCTTCCAACCCAAGGATTCTATGATTCTAAGATTTCAAGCAGAGCGAGATCTTTTTGTAGTCTAACTGTTGGGGCTTGCCATGTTAAAGATATAACATTCTCTTCATTGTATGTGTATATTGTATATTGGGACTACTACTCCTAAATAGAATTTATTTTGTTTTATTTATGAGAACTTTTAAATAAAAGGAATTGAAAAAGAGAAGTGAAAAGAATGTGAAGTTTGTTGCAGTGAAACAGACTGATTGTATATGGATAGAAGTAATTGTTTTGCTGGTAGGAGAGGGGGAAAAAAAAAAACAACCAGTACATCAGCAGAATAAAATATCTATGAAGTATTCACCAAATGCATTTTCCATAAGGATTTGTAATAGAAGTGAGACACAGCCTGAAGTTCTAATCTCACCATGTCCAGGTATTCAAACTGAGGTTCATTTGTGGCAGACAATAGTCTGAATATGAGTCTTGGATCTAGATAAACATATCCCAAAATCTTAGGAGTGTCTAAATTTAGGGCTATGCTTCGAGTGTGCTGTTAATGTTTCATCTTAACGCATTGTATATGTAAATGCAGTCATAGGAAAGGCTGTGTTTGAGGAGAAATCATTTAGGAGCCTGAAAAACTAGGCTTGAAACATTGGGTCAGTGTTTCAGTTCAGTATGGATGAATGTGCAAATTAATATGAGAGCTTTCTCTTCTTGATACAGCATTTAGCACTTTAGGAAGTTCAGTTTTGACGTACAAACTCAATGAGAGACCAATTTTTATTCACCGTGGGATAATGATTGTGTTTTGTGGAACTGACAACAAAAGTGTTTTAATGTGGAATGTATTACTCATATTGTAAGCTAGCACCACGTTTCACACATAGTTGTAACCAGTTTAAGAACAGTGCCACTTATAAACCTGTTAGGTTTTTGTTTGTCTCCTTGGTCTTTGAAGATTTTTTTGAAGTAAGAACTGAATGCAAGGAGGAGAGCTGTCAAATACTCAGTTAATTTCTGTTGCATTCCAGGTGGTATGCAAAGAAAATTAATTCTGAAAACATCACTTCTTACTGTGTTTCTCAGTTCTAGTGTTTCTGCACATTACAGTGTCTCTTGCAAACAAATCTTAGTATTTGTTGTGAGAGAAATTGTCATTTCTCTCCAACTATTTTCTCACTTATGCTACCAAATGAATTAAAGTAGCTAGCAATAGGAGATTTTAGAATTTTTATGCTAGATGGAGATCATCTCATATGGCCAGAAAGTCCTCAAACTGGTGAACCAAAGGATGCTAGGAAGTCAAGCATTGTGTTTAGGATTTACTCCTGTAGTATGCTGGTCATTTTCTATTCCTGCTGAGGTCTCAACAATATTAAGATTTGATTATAAAGTAAGTTTGCAGATGTGAGTGCAGTTAAAAAAATATATGTGTGCATGTTTATACTTTCCTAGGCCTTTGATTGTAATTGGAGGCTCTTCTGACAGAAATCAGGAAACCATGGGAGCTTTCCAGGAATTCCCACAGGTATGCAGACATTTCCATTTCTCCAAAATGGCTTCAGTTAAATAACTGGTGATATTTTTCCTTAGCATGGGAGTAACAATCCCAGACGCTGGCATTTCCTAGCAGATTTGATAATGCTGTTGACTTGCTCCATCTACTGGTTTAAAACTGTCACTGTGTACTTCACCGGACCAATTGGAATTTCTTTGTCCATAGCCATGCTAGAATTCGTGCTGGGTTTTAGATTCTCAGCTGGGATAAATCACCCTTGTCTGTCTCATCTGAGATGAAAGAAAGCAAAATAAACTTTCCAAGAAAAAGAAACACCACTTTCTGGAAACAAATATGGAAGAGCCTCAAGAAGAAGTATAGCTTGCCAGTTCATACCACAAGAGGAACTGCATTTTTCTGTGTGGCATTTGACACCTTGTTGCTTTTAATTTGACCTTTTTTCAATTTATTCATGTTGAAGCGAGTTGGAAAAGAGTGAATTACGTTGATAAATCAGTGTAATGGTTATATGCATTTCTTTAGGTTGAAGCTGCTAGGCTATACAACAAACTATCTGTCCGTCCAAGCAGCCTGGAAGTCATTCCTGCTGTTATTGAAAAGGTATGGAAAAAGTACTGAATTAACAGCAGAACACCAAGTAGATGACTCCTACTGCGTAAGGTCTGTGGGGTTTTTGTTGTTTTCGTTTGTTTGCTTGTGTGTTTTGGGTTTTTTGTTTCTTTGTTTTGTGAAGTTGTGACTACAACTACTTCGGTCCTGCAAATGTTTGGCAGTGGTTAACTGAGTAAGATCACAACCAGAGAGGTTCTTGTATTGGTAGCGCTATCGAATATGTTAGGAATAGATGCTGGTCTGATATTTATTTTTATGAGAAATGCTTCTAGGGAAATGTGCAAGAACTAGAAATACAACACCATAAACTTCAGCTCTGTTAGCTCTCAGGCTCTTCTATGAAGTGCTTTCATTATGTGAAGGAGATTTGGAGGGATGGGGGGTGAAGATGGTTACGTTTAGTTTTGGGGGCGTCTTTTTCGCTTGTTTGCTGGCTTTTTTTTGTTTGTGTCTGCATGAGAGAAAGAAAGATTCTTATCTTTGTGCTTCGGAAAGAGTTAGGAAAGTCTCTTATTTCTGTAGTAACGCTTCAACCACGTCAGCCTAAATTCTGCAGGCATCGTAGCTGTTTTCAGAAGTGCAAATTCAGCAGTGTGTTTACCTGTAACAGAAGAACTGAGAACGTAATAGAAGATAGTCATCTTGGTTTTTTTCTTTGTTCATGCTACTTGAAATAAAAAGTCAGCATAAAAGTTTACTTTAGTGTTTCCAAATACAACTGCTTATAATACAGTTGTCTTATGCCAAATTAATTAAAGAATATAAATCTAGTGCTGTTCACAGACAGAATTGTAAATAACAATCAAACCTTAAATGAGTTGGTATAAAACAATCGAAGGGAATTTTCCTTGTGATGATTCAGTAATCTTAAACAGCGTGTTCCTTCACTGCAGACTGTGATCTTCAAACTTAGAGGTTTCTAACAGCCATTCAAACAGTGGTTAAAATTCTGATCATCTTTTTTTCTAGGCTGTAAGAACCAGTATATATGGCCGCCCAGGTTCCTGTTACATTGACATACCTGGGGATTTTGTGAATCTTCAGGTGAATAAGAGCTCTGTCAAGTGCGTACAGCTTACATTTAGTTTCCTGTAGTTTTAAGTTATTTTGCCTTAGGAAAAAGATAACAAGAGATTAAATGTTTTACTATAAGGTAGCAATAAAAACATCAAAAATTCAACCTTGAATTTTAACTTTCAGTTATAGCATGTAATATGGATTGTAGTTTATGTTGAAATGTGTGAAAATAAATAAATTCCTGTGATGGTGTCTTAGTTGCATCGTTTCAGAGATTCGCAGATTGATGTATGTTTCTTTACTCGTGCAAGTAGCAACAAAAACTTCAGAATCTGTTTTAAAGATATGCTTGTCCTGTTCTGATAAATTCTGTGGGTAATGCAGGGACTTTTGTGCTAAGCAATAGGTTTTATTTTTTGTTATTCCTTGTTTTGATTTTTTTCTTTGGTTTTTTTTTTTTTTTTTTACCTGCTTCCAGGTATGTAGAATGCTGCCCACCACCTCCCATCAGCACAGCTGAGCACTCTGCTGTATCTGAAGCAACATCTATCATTGCTCATGCCAAGCAGCCTTTGCTAATCATTGGAAAAGGTAGTATGCTTTGACTGTGTAAGTACAGGATGAGAGCAATGACTAAAGATATTTCTTTTCCCCTCCATTGTACATTCTACATAAAAACATTGAAATTTGACGTTAAAATCTTCCTTTTTTTTTTTTTTTAAAGCATTTTATTTTGTTCTGTTTTTCATCTATGTTAAAAGAAGAATCAACTTATGAAATACAAGTTTTTGTTTGTTTGTTTGTTTAAAAAAAAAAAAAACAAAAAACCAACAACCAGATAACTGTGTTCTTAACTGTAGAGCCAGTACAGGAAGTTCGAAAGTTCTAGGCAAATTGTATCAGAATACAGAAGTGATATTTTCTACCATTGTCAAGAAACAAATTAACCAAAGGTCACTTTCCCATGTGGACTTACTGCAAGTGCCAGGCTGTCTGTCATGAAGCAGCACAGCAGATGTTGCTGTTACTGCTGCTTCGTAGATTTTCCATCGTACTCTGCCAGTCTGCTAGTGTATTTCATTTCTGAAAGAGGAGTGTCCCTAAAGACAGGGGATAATTATTTTCTGTGCTGGTTCACTTATTTTAGTCACTTCTTCTGGAATGTCAATCCACGCAGGGGCATTTCTATGAAAGATAGGGTTCATTAGGGTGCAGTAGAACTGAAATAACCAACTAATTTCACCCACACAGTTCTCCTTCAGACTTTGGAATAATCTGAATCTCAGAAAAAGGTTCTGTGTTTAACCAGAAACTGAAATAATTGAGATTAGATGGGTCTTATTATTAATTAGGTAGTGAAACAGTAGATAGTATTTCAGAAGAGTTTGGTTTGTATTTTCCTTCCTCTGACTTGATACATGTGAATTAACGGGTGTTCTGTGATAGGTAGAAAGCTCAGTGTGTTTTGTTGATGTCAGCAATTGAGAAATGCTGTTTCTTCTTCAAATGTAATCAACAGATGTGTCCAGATATTCTTTTATATATATTCTTGTTAGCACAAACTCATGGACTTAAGCAATGGCACAGGGACCAGTCAATTCTCAGCTGTCTGGGCAACCTTAATTCAGCTGTTTGTACTGCAGAAAGCACCACAGTAAATGTATGCACAAATACCTGTCTTCAAATCTTTTTTGAGCTTCTCCTGTTTTCATTAAAGGCTTACCGTAGACCTGCTGGGGTAAATCATTATAACACCTTGTGATACAAGGCCATAAACAGGGCAAGCAAAAAAGGACATGATGTGACACAAATGCCATCTCCCATTGTTGCTGCAGAGCTCTCTGTACTGTAATATAGAACTTCACCTATGGGAAATGTGAAACCAAATGCCTTTTTGGTGTGTTATCTTTTGAATTTTCCAGAGTGAAAAATAGCAGACAGCTTTCATAATGGGAAGTACTACTCTTTCTGCCACTAATGTAATCTAATTGAAATTCAGGTGGATGCAGTAGGTTTCTGTAGTGTTAAGCTTCCCTTTTGTTTCATTCAGGTGCTGCTTATTCACATGCTGAAAACAACGTCAGAAAGTTTGTGGACCTTTCTGGACTGCCTTTTTTGCCTACACCAATGGCAAAAGGAGTAGTTCCTGATAACCATCCAAATTGTGTAGCTGCAGCAAGATCCACGTAAGTATAAAGCAAGACTTCTAACATCTGAGGAAACAACTGGGAATTGGGGAGGTTTATAAATTCCAGGGAAGACAAAATGTATACATAAGAAATTGTTTCAGCTATATTTTATACTTCATTATAGAGGTCTGAGGATCTTGCTTGAAAAGAAGCAACAAATTTAGGTGTATTGCTTCTGACAATGCTTAAAATGCTGGCCAGGAAGATAATTCATCTGAGAGATAATATTCTGTAGCTAATAAAACCTATGTTGTTATCATGCATTTTATGACGTTAAAGGAAACTGATGAGCAGTTTATCTGAAATACTTAGCTTAGTGGTCTAGAAAAACTATTAGGCTTTTATTTTAACACCTTAAACAGAAGCATAAGAAGCACATATTGCAGCTCAAGTTCTGCTGTCTGCTATATTTGCATGGTGTTTGCAGTACACCTTTTACAGAACAGAAGCGGGGAGCAGTGGATGTCAGCACAGTAAGATGGTGGGTGGCAAAACACTGTTCATAAACAGTGGGTCACTTCTGCTGGTGCAGAGGTCTATGAGCACAGTGTGCAGGCTCATGTCCATTGCTGGCAAAAATGCATAGCTAATGGTGGTGACTATGTCAAAAATAGTGTTTTGTAGCTGAGATCTTGCTCTGTCATGTAGTGTTCTCGTGCTCTTTGCATCTGTTGTAGTTTCCATGGATATAAATAGGAATTACTTTCTAAGCAACCTATGTATATTCTTGTGCTTACTGCAATGGTTAGGATTACTTGTAATTTTGAAAACACTGTTAAATTTATCAATAGTTCTTCCATCTAATTCTCTTATTTACCTTGGTAGGGCATTACTACATGCTGATGTAATCATCTTGCTTGGTGCGAGGTTGAACTGGATTTTGCATTTTGGACTTCCACCGAGGTTCCGACAAGATGTAAAGGTTATTCAGGTGAGGAAGAAAACAGTTGTCAGTTAAAGGATGTCCTCTGTGTTCCAGCATTGCCTACAGTAGTTTTTGCTAATTATTTTGGTAGCATAGTTCATGTGAAAAATACTGCCATGCAGACAGTGCAGTTGAGTGCATATAGGTGTGGTAGTTCTGTAGCAATAGTTCTGATTTCTTTAATTTTTATTTAGTTTTTACTTCCTTGCATTTTTTCAAAAAACGGTTACAGAGTTTTTCCAGCTATTAAGGACCTGGTGTTGGTGTCGTGGGAAGAGCAGATGCTTGTGTGCAGTTGACTAATGCAGGATTAGACTCATGATGTGTATATGATATTCGGAGCACTGGAATTTCAGTGATTGAAAACAAATTGTCCTGAAATTTGAAACCTTTCTCACTGTTTGACTGCCCTCAGCTGGATTTTTTCAAAATACAATTAGCTTCAGATTCAGAGTCAGTCAGTCTTTGCAACAGCTCAGTCACTCAGTAATGCTCATGGGAAAAGAGAAGGAAAGGCTGTTTAACCAATTAATTATTTGGAAGTGTGCCAGCTCATAGAAAAGTTGTTAAACTGATTATGCCCTCAAAATCTTCTCTTGTAAGAGTTTATGACTGAGTAGTAGTTGGCTTATTTTGATGTGCCTCTCCAGCTTGCAGTGGTCTGGAGCTTTATCTCGGTTTCCCGAGGAGTAGCAAATTTTAAAGTAGAATTCCTTTTGACTTTTCAAATCAATATATTTTTTTATCTTTTCTTTTTCTTAATAAATAAATAAATAAATCTTTTTCTTAAAAATACTTTTTAAGCTCATTTATAGTTGGTTTTTAACTGTCAAAGGTGGATATTAAAATTTTATTTTCAATAAAAAACTTCCTGATGTTGTTTCAGCGAAGGAGAAAGAAGACTATCTGGCCAGAACAAGGTATAAAGAGAGTCAGACAATGTTCCTCACTTGAATTGGGGAAAAAAAATGTCCCTTTAATATCTTTGAGTTAATGGTAGTCTTTCTTTTTGAAATACAGATTGATATTTGTGCAGAAGAGATGGGGAATAATGTGAGGCCAGCTGCAATGTTATTAGGTGATATAAACGCCATAACTAAGCAGGTAATGTAATGTCAGATGTCTTCCTGTTTTTACTGTAGTTGTATCTTACATAATTAAAAAAAAAAAAAAAAAAAAAAAACACGAAGAAGCCTTTTTTTCATGCAACATTTTCATGCTTTGCATCTGGTTTAGTGGTAAAGATTCTGATTTGTGCAGGCATAACATTCTTGATGTGTGTGGTATTTTTTAAATACGTTGAAAGAAATCTACATCATCTCAAATATTCTTCCAGCTTTTAGAAGAATTCAGCAAAAGACCTTTGAAATACCCCTCTAATTCAGAGTGGTGGAAGAGGCTAAGAGAGAAAATGCTGAACAATGAGGAAAGATCAAAGGTAGTATTATGTTAAACAAATCCATTTTCTCACCTTAAGAGGGACTGATACACAGTTTTATCACTGCTCTGTACTCAAACTTATTTACTTTGGACATCACACAGGATGGATTCATTCTTTGTTTTCTTCTGTAACTGTGCTGTTTAGCAAGGCTGGTGGCAGCATAATCTATGTCAAATGCAAATAGCTTTTATGCCAAGATGCCACAGACACTTGGAATGTGTCTAGCTTTATACAACTCGTGTTCTTGATGATGCGCTTTTCCAAAGTGGATTTTTAAGTAGATTAATTGCAGCAGATCACCCTTCAGAACTATCTCCCAGTACACAGATGACAGTGTTTAGACTGATCAGCAGTGGAACATGTGGTTGAAAAAAAAAAAAAAATCATGCATCTCTCAGATTAAACTGCCAGCCAAGGGAGCAGGTTGCTGACCACAGTGAGCCTCAGATAAATATATTATGTCACCAGAATAGGTAAAGCAGACCTGGAAGTATAGCATGGAAGTCCAAATAACTTCATCCCTACCTAACATAGCACATTTCTATTTCCATAGTATTATTTACATGTCTCAGTTCTTCACCTTATTCTAGATTCTTTTATTTTTAAGGATTTAGCATTACAAAAATCCCTGCCCATGAATTATTACACAGTCTTTCATCACATCAGAGAACTGATACCCAAGGACTGCATTTTGGTAAGCGAAGGAGCAAACACCATGGACATCGGGCGAACTATGCTTCCTAACTATCATCCCCGTCAAAGGTGTGATATTTTCCTTGTTGTGCTGGCTCAACAGACTAGATTTATATATAAAACAAAAGCATTATGGTCCAGAATTTCTGTCATGCTTTTTAAAGACTCTAAGTAAAATAAATGTACGTATGTTGGAGAAGGTCTGAAGGATGTTATACACACCTATACTAATGTTCTTCTGTAGATTGTAATCGTTCTCCACGATCTGTCTGTGTAGTTTGCAACACAAGAGTGATAGTTTCTCCAGTTTCTTTGAAACAACACTTCAACAAACGGGAAAAAAAATGCCAGGCAAAGCGTAAGAGGAAGGACCTCACTTTGAAAATGGTGTTATACATTGAGCATACTTTCATGCAAATCTGCATGCTTAAGATGTAGTCACCCAAATTTGAAAGCATGGGTATGTCATTTTATGGACAGCTATCCCAAACTTATGATGATTGTAAGTGGGAATTAAGTGCTATTTTTTTGAACAGGAAGAGGAAGAGCAAGTTCTGACTGTTGAAGTGATGCTTCTGATGTGACTGGGAAGCTTAGAGCCGTTTTTGTGAAATTAGCACTGAAGTCTTAAGCGACCCTAAAAATATTTATTTGTAAGCAAAACAAAAACTAATCAACTGACCAAAGAAGCTTACTTCCAGTTAAGTTGGGGAAGAGTTTACATTTTTTTCCTCCTTTCATAAATAAGGACACCATAATGTTAATTGTTGCCTTTTTCGTACGGGATCGGACATATCTGAAAGCAAATTTTAAAAGCTAATCCTAGAATAATCTAGTTCTTCTTTTGTATCCATTATGTGCTTCTGATTGAAATGATCTAACTTAATTGCAGACTGCAATTTGATTTCTAAAGTTGAACAGAAGGCTGAAGTTTGGACAGCATTATTTAATTGATGGCCTTCAGACTAAATTTTCAAGGAATTAAATATAGAAAGATTTCGTGTAGTCTGCCTATCTCTGGAGTAACCAAATGTCTTTTAAAATATTGTTACTATGCAAGTTAGGAGCATGTAAGAATAGACTCTCTTTATTAGAATACTACTGGTGTATAATAGTTCTCAGTTTTAATTAGTTCTGGTATGTTTGTCTCAAGACATTTGCAGTCTTATCTGATATTTAACTGACTATTATCATCCATATATCTGGTATCTCTGTACATATGTTTATGAGACATTATTTTAATAATCTGTGAGGAATTATTAAAAGTTGAAATAAAGCTTGAGTAGTTAACTTGGAAAGTAACTGTGTGTTCTCACCCTTAGGCTTGATGCCGGAACTTTTGGAACAATGGGAGTTGGACTGGGTTTTGCCATAGCAGCTGCACTGGTGGCCAAAGACCGAACACCTGAGAAGCGAGTCGTCTGCATAGAAGGAGACAGTGCTTTTGGATTTTCTGGGATGGAAGTGGAAACTATTTGCAGGTAACTGCTTTTTTGCTCAGAGATGCCTTCTTCATATATTGCCAGTATCAATTAAACTAGAAGGCTGAGATGCTGCTATTAGACAGGGTGCGCTTAAAAGCACATGAAAACAACCCAAAAATATACAGAGTAGTTTTTCTGTTCTGCCATGTGATGAATAGATGATTTTTCAGATTGATGTGATAGATATATATATGTATATTCTATTAATCATCTTATTTTTGCTAAAAAGGGATTCTTTTAATGCCTTAAGAAAAGGCACAGGTATTTCCTAATTCTTCCAAATACATCTCTTTGTAGGTACAACTTGCCAATCTTGATTATCATAGTAAACAACAATGGGATCTACACTGGTTTGGATGCAGGCAGCTGGAAAGAGATGTTACAGTATGGAGATCCTGTTACAAGGTGAATGACTTCTAAGTATGTCTTGTTAATTAAAGTAGAAGTGGCCAAAATGGTCATTCTGTTTCACTTTTAATGCTTTGTGATCCAGATGGAAGTTTTTCATGAAGTTAATTTAGCCCTGGGGTAAGTTCATGTAAATAAGAACCTGTTACCAAAGGCGAGGAACTAATATTCCAGACTATTGTTTGGACAACTGTATGGCAGAGAAATTGCACACTCTGTCATCTCAGGTTCAAGCTCCATGGTATGGAGTTCATATTTGGTCAACCTCCAACATGCCAGTCATCTCCAAAACTACCTGAGGCTTTTGTTTCAAGTCTACATTGGACTTCCCTGTACAGGGGGAACTAGGCTAAAAGACTACTGATGAGTGTCTCCAGATTAAAATGCAGCCTAATAGTGGTATAGGAAACACACTCCTCTAGCCCAGAAGAATTTATCAGGCTGGAACAATAATAATCTCATACTTGAAAATCGGTGCTCAAGTAATTAAATTTGTCAATCTGGCAACTCTTCCCTATCTTTTATCAGAGGTTTCTATTTCTTCACAGTGTACCTCCTGTTTCCCTCCTTCCAAATGCACGCTATGAGCAAGTTATGTCTGCCTTTGGTGGTAAAGGATACTTCGTTAATACACCAGAAGAACTGCAGAATGCTGTGAAAGCAAGTTTGGCTGACAAGCGAGCACCTTCTCTTATAAATGTAATGATTGATCCACAGTCTGAAAGAAAGAAACAGGTATTTCTGTCTTCAATTTTTTTGTGAGCTTCATGTGGGGATACATCTTAAGTACTTAGGAAGCATCACAAAAGCTGCAGAGAACGTTGAGGTGATTGCAAGGCAAAAAGATTCTCTTCAGATATGGGAGATTTACACTGTGTTGTCTTTTTTCCTTGTTTTTTTTTTTTTCTTCACTGGCTCTTACCAAAACTCAGTCTCTTTACTGTTACCAGAAGTAGCAGTTGTTCCTTTTCCCTCTTGACAAAAGGGGATAACTTTTTTTGTGATCAGACATTGTGAAGTAGATTCCATCTGGTAGTTAATACATCTCTGTATCCTATTCCTCTTACTGTGTAACCATTCTGATGCATATTTTATTCTATTGTTGTTTTGGGTTTTTTTTGCTTCCAGGAATTTCCCTGGCTTACTCGTTCTAACCTGTAAAAGAAGATGAAGTTGGCCATGGTGCAAGACATGCATGAAGCAAAGCTAAATTGGTTTCTGGAAGAGGAAACAATGCAACTCTTACATAAACAGTGGAACAAAATGGAAATTAAAAATTGATATCAGAGTAATCTTTAAATGATGAAATTAAGTAACTGTGTAGTGAACAGGACGCATTTTAATGTATATCAGACTCCCTTAGCAGACTGCACAGAAAATACGGATGATGAGGCTGTATAACTTTTCATTTACTCAAACTTATAGTCATCAAGATTTGTGAATTAAAATTTTAGGCGTTCTGGAAGAAGAGAATATGCTGACAGTTTTACACTGTTAGAAATACAGAAATTTTAGGCAGTCTGGAATTAGAGTAGCTTCGTTTTTAACTGGTGCTACTTGTTTTGAGACCTTATCCTGTGATTACTGAGATGAAGTATTGTGCAAGTGCTCATTGGAATAATTGTGCTTTGGAGCCAATTGGGGAAACAGTCACTTAATGATTTTACATGATGCTTTTTTAGCTTCTACTCTAGGTAGAAGCAGTGTGTGAGAAATAACTTCTTTACTGTAAGGGTGATGCAGCAGTGGAGCAGGTTGCCCAGAAAGGCTGTGGTGTCTCCTTTTATGGAGATATTTAAGACCCATCTGGACAGCTACCTGTGTGACCTATTGTAGGGTCCCTGCTTTAGCAGGGGGGTTGGGCTTGATGATCTCTTGAGGTCCCTTCCAACCCCTGCAATTCTGTGGTAAGGACTGATTTTGTCTATTGCACTTGAGTTTGAGATTTTGAAGAGGTCAGATTGGTCTACTTGAGGCTGTATCTACTGCATCTTCATCTGTTGTTGCATCTGGCAACCTGAACTAGAGCTCACGCTTTAAAAGGAGCTTTTTCTCTGTGCTTCTGTCACAGTGACCTACAGCAACTATACTTCTGCAGTGCACTACCAAGCAGGTTACTTCATTTGTTCTTAAGTGCACTGGGAGGTTCTTTGTTATAGATGTATAAGAGAAAATTCTGGCTCTGATTGGGTTTTGGTGTTTTCACTGTCAGTAATTTCACTAACATTAAGTGTTGCTTAACCAATCAAAGACATTTGGATGAATGAAGATAGGGACTGGGCTGGCATGAGATCCTTGACTACAGTTAGGTTTGCTGTAAAAAGCGAACCTGAGTTCTTAAACTTCAGTCTGGGCCTGGCAGGAGGCTGTGGATTACTATTAAGCAGCATTATCTCCACACACTTCTCACAAGACAAAGATCACTGCAGATCACTGGAGATAAGATTATACGTGCAATGTGTTTGGTGATATTCATAGTGCTGCATGGGTACTTGAGTCTATGAAGGTAATATCCACAGGATGGGTAAGAACTGCAAAAAGATAAAATCCACTGAGGAGATGCAACTCATGAATAAGACAGGAGAGTTTTGTTCTGTGGGGCCTTCTGCAGGGAATGTGGAATGACATTGGATCTTGTCACAGATTTTCTTTCATTCTTCTTTCATGCTCTCCACAAATTGATTTTAATATGTTGCAGCAATTAAACACACTGCATTATGGTAATTCAGAATGTCTGTAAAAGATAATGCTGGTCGGAGGGGAGATCATTTGTATTAGATAAGCAAATACAGAGATTCTTGTTTTATATTTTTTAAATCAATAAAAAGTGATTTTCATGGTGTTTCTTCTTTAATGATAGAATCATAGAGTCATAGAACTAACTTGAATTACAGCAGCTTTTTATGTCAGCTGTTAGAAATCAGTTTAAGTTGGATTTGTAGAAAATCTTGTTGAATAGCCACAATAGCATGCACTGTTCATTTCAATAGTTTAGACAGATGGAAAATGGAAAGTAAAGAATAGAAACTGTGGAGAGGTGATAATATCAGTTTAGATGTCACTGAGCTTTTGAAAGTTCAGAAAAGAATTTGGCACAATTTCTGATAGTTGTTAAATAGACTAATGCATGACATAATACAAACTTCTACACTGTAACAGCTAAGGATATGTATTCTACATTTCAGTAGAGATGGAATGTGATTTCTTCACAGGGGAAGTGACATTTGTACTGCTTTGTTTATGTGGCGTAGCTGCTTGATGCTTTGTTTTACACCATGGAGCTGCATCTAAGGGGGATGTTAGGCAGATGAAACTGTATGAAGGACAGAGATGAGACAGGAAGATGGTATGTCTGAAGCGCCCCCATATTATTAAAGGGAGCGAAACCTCCTCAGAAGGTTTAGGCCTGAGTTTAAATAGGTACTTCTCTGGGCTTTCAGGTAAATACCGACCGTTTGAAATTTTGGTATACCTGCTTAGATGGGGAAGGAAACCCAGTGGTTCAGGTCCACAGCACTTGTCCTCTGTAAAGAGAAGACAGCGTGCACTGAAGGGGCCTGTCATGAACCTGTGACGTACAGGAGGTACGAGAAACGCATTACAGGTAATCTAAGCGTGGAACCACAGTTAATCAGCCAAAACAAAACCAAAAAAGAGTTGCCAGGTCAGTGGAAATGGGGAATAAGTGAATTTCCTTACAAGATACTGTCATGTGTTGACTGTGTTTCTGCAGTCTCTTGGAATGCTCGGCTTGCTAGCAGTTAGTCTGTAGTAATTTCTAATTGTTTTGTGTGAATTTTAGTCCCTAGTGAGTCGTGTTCTGCTTTGGAAACATTTGGGCATGTGATGAATGCTTGCCTTCACTTGTTACAGCCTTACAGTGCATATTCATCTTGATGAGGAATCAAATGTGTGTAGAATCTTTCTAAATTTGTTTTTAAACACCAATGCAAAATCCCAAATACACCTGAAACAAGCTGCAGTGAATCTTAAGGCCTGCCACAGTACCCAAGAAACCAGCAAATGCTGGCTGTAAGCCAATGGAAGACCAATTAAACGTGAGCAACTTCTGCCCTGACCAAATCATGGTGTTTTATGTAGAAATCAAAATCCCCATTGCAGCTTTTATGCTATTTACAGAGCTTGGTAGCTGCAGTTAATACAGAAAAGCATGTTTTGTACCCCCATGTTCTTAATGACCTTGTAATATCAGACACAGGTATCAGATCTGATCATTGTAACAACATACTGGCAGTGGGACTGCTGACTAATTTAATTATAACTGGGTACTGTAATGAGTGAGGAACAGTAATTCTGAAGGAGATGTATACTGTTTCTTTTGATGATTTGGTGGAAACCAGATGGTTAAGTTTAAAGAGGCCCTCAGTAAAGCAGACCCTTCTTGCTAATTATGGCACATGCTAATATAAATGGAAATGATTTCAGTGTCTGTTCTTTCCAGGAATATCTAGCCTGCCTGCAATAGTGTAGAAATAAGTAAGAGAAATTAATAGAATGACAATTGACTTACTTGAGCTAATAGGCCAAAAAAAGTTTTTGTTTTCATGCATCTTTTCAAGGCAGGAAACTACAGGAAACACAATACTGAAAAGGTTGCATGGAATAATTTATTTCAGACTTTTTGACTTTTTAAGTTGTCAGCTCCAGCAATCTGTGTAGCTGTGTAGTATCCTGGGTCAAATTCTAAATGGGATGCGATAAGGGATACTTTTGAAGACAGAGTTTGGTTACTGTGTTTTGGAGCTGACTAAATGCATTAGCAAATAGAGAACCACGGACCTGAAAGTCAATAATGGAATGTCTTTGCACCTAGCTGATGGGAGACTTGCCTGTAGAATGTAGTGTTTCTTATGCTGCCAAATGAGGAAGTAGTGAAAGGCTCATGTAAGCCAAATGTACACAGCAACACTGATTTTTTTGTCTCTTGCTCCCAGAAAACAATCACTATTTTTGAGCATTTCTGTGCAATGACTGACAGCAGCTGTTTCAGCATGAGACAGCATAACCTGCATGCCTACGTGAGAACCAAATATGTTGTCAGGTGGAGAGGCCCTCCTGCTCTCTATGTGGCGGCTGCTCAGGTTTGTACATCCCTACACCTTGCACCTACAGTGGTGACTGCCAATATGCACTCAGACATTCATCCAAGCCAGAGCTCCACACTGTCTGGGTAAAAGACTTTCTCTAATGAAATCAGTACATCAGAAGTATTTAAAAAAAAAAAAAAAAAAAAAAAAAAAGCTGGCACTTTTTTAAGTGCTTGAAGAATTTGTCATCTGTCTGACTCCTTGGCACTTGTCATTAAGGTAATGTGCACATCTGGTGTTTTGTAGACCTTGGCCGTGTGAGATGCTGATATATTAAGGCACACCTTGAGTTTCAGTCAAAGCAATACATCCTCCTTGCAGCAAGCAGGCATGGCTGTGGTCTATGTATGAAAGCCTCATTAACCAGGCCATAAACCTACTCCCTCTGCAACACTGGGATATCATTCAGGTGCTCAGAAAATAAGTAGAAATTACACTGGTAAAAATTACCATTTCAGCCCTAACACAGACGTTAAACTACCACAGATAGGTAGCTAATGCTGGGCCTCACTCTGTGCAGATGAAATAGTGAGGCCTTTTTACTGAATTTATTCAAGTGCTGACTTTATTCAAAGTTTTTATCCCTGTATGCCAAACTGCCTCTTGGCGTGGATGTCTTTGATACAAATTATGGAACCTTCAAGTATAGGACTTTAAAATGGAAATGTCGGCACAGCCTTAATAATAGCTCTCTAATTCTACAGAGGGAGCTGGGAAAATGCATTTGTCTGCTTTGATTAGGCTCAGCAGCATCCTGCATTTGGAATAGGACAGCCCTGGTGTACTGTAATGACTGGGCAATGTACAGAGCCCAACCACTTTGTGTGCTGCTTGGGCTTCAAAATGTGAACCATCATAAAAATGCAAAGCTTCTCTACCTGTTGTCTGACCCAGCAGCCTTAGAAATCAGCAATCACTTTATAGAAACAGCAGATTCAAGTTGTGGATGTTGGCTACCCATCCAGTACTGTGCCAGAGAAGTCTCTTTCATACTACATGGGAATTCTGCCTGCTATGCATAGCATCTTGGTTAGAGTTTATGGTCACCCATTTGTTTAAAAATAAACAAAAAGCATAGCTGGTTGGTCACATCCTGCTGCTCCTTCCTGCTGTTCTACTGAGATCTATTTACCCCATTTCAGTTTTATAATACAGGACCAGGGAGGTGGTGGAGACATTGTCCCGGGAGATGTTCAAGAAACATTTAGGTGTTGTACTAAGGGACATGGTTTAGTGGAGAAATATTGGTAGTAGGTGAACAGCTGGACTAGAGGATCTTGGAAGTCTTTTCCAACCTTGGTAATTCTATGATTCTGTGATTAGGCCTTTGGCTAAAGCAGGAAGCACTGTCTTCTGCTGCTGGTTTGGGGTTCTGTAATGCATGGGATCCCTTAGTATTCAGTGTCCAGAGGAGTCCATGAGAGGAGAAGAAAACCAACCACTGGAAAACAAGACTTCAGATACTTTGTCTTTAAAATACTATGAAGTTTTGTGGTTTTGTTTTTGGTTTTTTTTTTTAAGCTTTTATTTGGCAAAGACACCCAGGCACATCCTTGATTTCAGGAGCAGCTTCATTGACTTCACTTGGATTCTTGAGATTGTTACACTGATGACCAAGTCCTTTCCTGAATCTCCAGCAGGGATCCCCTGCAGAAGGCTGTGGAGCCAGTGTTAAGGTGCATTTTTCAAGATGCACATGTCCCAGTGTTCAGCTGCATGTTTGCCTACATCTTAATGATGTAATGGTCTGCAGTGCAGTGTGGAAATCAGGTGCAGGGTGCTGCATTGCCATCGTCTGTGTTGCACTCCAGAATGGAGAGTACTGAGACAGAGAGAGTGCTAAAGCAGTAATTCTGGTGATTTGTTTTGTTTTATTGGCTTTTTTTTCAAGCAAGAATTCTTCACAGAGGAAAAAGAGAGTGGTGCATCATGTTTTTCAAGTCACTGGGCTTCTTGCCAGGCTGAATGATAAATCACTAGAAGTAGGAGTCACGAGAGCCAATTATTGCCAGACACTTCTGTTCTCTGCCTCCAGCAGCAGGGCTAGCACAGGCAGAGACTTCTACTTTCTGAATAGAAAAGAGAAACAGTGAAGAGTTGAATGAAAAAAAGATGAAAAAAATTATCCTGAAAATTATTTCCATCTCCTCTGGATTCATGTGGGATGAGTGCACTATGTCTAAGGAGCATTGGGTATTGTACATATCCTGCACAGCAGTCTGCTCCTGAGCAGTAGGTAGAGCATGAGAACACACTGAAGGTGTGATATAGGCACCAAATAACCTTGTACCTAAACATCTTTAGGAGCCATCAGGCTTTCCATAGGTTTGATTGACACATTCAGCAACTTCATGGGATTCCTAACCGTGTATTTTTTTTTACAGCACATGCTTGCATTTAGCTGTGTCTTTCTACATGTCTGCCACATTAAGTATGCACGCATTTCTGCCTCGGACAGCCTTGCTATTGTACAAAATTGTATACAATTGCACAGCAAATGCTGAATGACTTTCAGTTTGAAGAACAAGGTCTAAGAGGCAGATGAAACAGACAGGAAAGGGGAAGAGGAGTCATGTTATAAAAGTCAGCAGCTGAATGATTGTTTGAAAATTGTCCTTTGTTGTGCCTTCCAAGATTACAAGGGTACAGTGCAGTTCTTCTCACAGCTTTGATGGAAAACACTTGGCATTATCCCTTAATGTTTAATTATAGCTCTTTAATGCTGTAGGAGGTTGCTAGGCATCAATGTGCTGTCCTTAGAATGCACTCATGCAGTGGCTCACCTCAAGACTGGGTGGTGCCTCACCCTCAAGTCTGCATGGGGCTCTGGTACCTGGCTGGGGGGCTGGCACAGGGCAGCTGGGAAGTCAGAGTTTGGTGAGTTTTCTCCATTGCATTTTGTGGGTCTGTTTCTGTACAGGCTTCCGTATTAAATCTAAATTCATCAGCAAAGACATGATGAACATTAGCTACACTGTCCAAGTACTAAATCCAAACGTTAGGCATAAACAATGCAGGTGTGTGAACTTGAGCAGATATTTTTACTGTGAAAAACTATTGTTGCTAAATAACTAACAAGTTTTGCAAGGAAAACCTAATTACAAAGAATCTTCCATCTCCCACGCTAATTGAATGAGCAGAATTCTTCTGTACTACTTTGCAGACATCATGTCATTGAATTATTGGATTAACACTGGGTTGCTGTTTTACCTTTGCCCCACTCAGCAGAAGACTGTTGAGTCTTTTGAACTGGAAAGCCTTGATTATCTTTTTCCCTTTCAATAGAACTGTGCTCATTCAGAACCCTGAGTTTAATGATATTTTGTCTCAACTCCTGCATTTTCTTTGTTGATAAAGAATCTGCCAGTAGAAAGTGAATAGGACTGAGAAACAGCCTTCTTTTTAACAAGTATTCATTAATTCTTAATTAAAACAGAAGAGAGGGGTTTGTAAATTCTATTTACATGGTAGATCAGCAGGATCTTTCATCTGCTTCTAAGGGCTCATCTCTGGGCTGAAAAGATCAAGCAACAACAGGTAAAGTGGTCAGGCTTTAAATGAGAATATATATGTAAAAGCTAGTTGGCTTTTGACGTTTTATTAGCTGTTATGGCATCTACTCAAAATAGGATTTTTAAAACTGCAGTTGATTCGCTGCAATAACACTATGGCATTCCATTTCTTTGAATGTCAGATTGGAGATGATTTTTGTTTCTGGGATTCTCACAGTTGAAAGATTTTTAAGCCAACTCTTCCAAACAGTGTTATTACTTTAGGCCATGGTGGTATCTCATAAGACTTGGAAACCACATGGTGTCTGTACTGTCCTGTGTTTCTTTCTTAAGCTAACAGCATCTGAAATAGAAATCCTACTGAAAACATGGCGTTCTATTTGATGATTACTACTAGCGTTAAAGCAACAGTTCTGGTGGGACACAAGTACGCACAAGTACACACTCCTCTTTTTCCTAGCAACTGAATAATTTCATGAAAAAAAAAAGACTCTTTTTATTCAAAAAAATGTATAGGATTGTCAGCGTTAGATCACTTTAATCACATTAATGTTGATCTTCCCTTCAATGCTGATAGCACTTGCAGTGAATATAGAAGGAAGATAAAAATATTATTGATTACTATATGCATGATAGAGACAAGGACTTCTGTTCTCAGAGCAGCGGCCTTCACTATGTCATGCAGCTCCCTCTGAAGGGAGCAGAAGCTTTCCATTGACTTTATGAGCCCATGGGAATAACTGAAGGCATGAACTGCTTGGCTGAGCAGGTTCACAGAGCATAGATAGCTCAAGGGCTGAAAAACGTACATCTGTCAAGCTTCTCACACTGTGTAAGACACTTTGCTATGTGGTAGCACTTCTCTTTGGGATCATCTCTGTCACGTGAGCAAATGCCCCAGAGGCCAGGAAGCAGCCCTGTGTGCGTGTGTCCTTGTCATCTACTGTGGAGTGAGTGCCAATTATCACAAAGTCATATAAAAAAGCATACAGCTGCTGTCTGCTTTATTTCTAATTGACTTCATTCTTCTCCTGCTGAAACTCTCAGCAGCTTTGCCAGCAATTTCAGCTGGTAAGGCCGATGCCTTAAAACCAAAACAAACGCTTGCACCTGCTGATTGCAACAAGGGCATTTATTTCTGATGACCTCATGGTAGTTCCCCTAAAAACTGTGGTGAACTACAGCTGCATCACAACAAAGAGATCTCTTCAAATTTAAACCTGAACATGTCCTTTCAGGCTTTCTTTTGGAAGATGGTGTGTTTGCCTCAGGTGTGCACCTACAGAAGGAAATCTGGCATTGACTGAGTTGGTTTGAGTAAAGCAGGCTCAGGCTTTGAAGTGGTGGAGATGTTAAGACAAAAAAGAGAAGAAAGCTGACAAAACATCTATTTTCGATCAGGGTTCTTCACTGAAGAACAGATGGACCAAACGTTTCTATTGAGAAATGACTGCAAAGTTGACTTCTTTTGGAGCTCAGCTGTAGCCCTCGTTTTCTGTTTTGCTTCTGGCCATTTCAGGAAAGCACTCATCCTTGTGAGGAAGAGATATTTTCCTTGTCCCTACCTTATTTTGTGTCACAAGGATGAATGTAGTTTGTGATGGAAATCCTTGCACTATTCCTTATGCAAGATGTCACTGCATTATTTTTTTTTTACCTGATCATGCATTTCCATGTTCCATTTCTAGTTCAGAGACCGAAGTACACAAGCTGATAACAGGGTGGTGGAAGAAAGGAAAAATATGTGTCCTGCTGTCTGATCTTGGTTCTTCATGGTACTACTGGATTCATTAATTTCCTTTTCAAGCAATGTATTTTGTACTACAAACTTCTATTTCTCAGTTTCTACCAGACTGCAGGAGGATTTCAGAGGGATTTGAAATTACTCAGTCACTGCTTCAAATGAGTGTTGAGCTGGTCAAACATTTCCAGAGGTGAATCTTTTACATTTCAAGGACTTTTTTCCATTGTTCATGCATCTTCTAGCCTCTTATTCTCATTATGAAGCTTATTTGCAAAGCCTTGCTGGCTGGACACCAGAGGGACCTCAGACTGCCGTGCAGGTGACAAAGGCATGGGTTGCTTTTCCAAAAAATGTGAGTTTTGTTTTCCTCCAGCGGTGCTGCCATTGCTACAGAGCTGACTGCATTTCAGCCAATCACAAGTAGTGATTCTTGTATAGTTTCTCTCACCTGTTGCATGCTGTCAGTGCACTGCTTGCAGTCGTACAATGCATCACTAGTAGGGATGCTGGCATCTTCACTTACAGCACCAAATACTGATCTGGTCTGTGTCTGCAGACCCTCAGTGGTATCGCTCAGCTCTGTGCGCGACTGCAAAGCACTGTCATCCATAAACACATCAGATCACAGTTAGTCTCGTTCATTAAGCAATTAATGACCTGTAGAAGATGATCATTCAGGGATTTTAGCCCTCCTGACGTTGGTGTCTGGTTGACGGCACCAACGGATGCTGTTTATAGTCGAGTTGATAATCTCTCTCTTTCCAGCTCGTTATTATTATCATCCAAATGATAATCTTTTTGCTTCTGTGACCCAAACAGAATCCCCCCCGCCACCGTTTTAGCAGCTAACATCTACAATGGGGGCAACTGATCCAGCGCGGGAGTTAAATATAACCGTGCCTAGTGTAAGGAGAAGAGTGAATGGGAAATGGTTGGCATTCCTTCTTCCTGAAGGCACGGCGAGAGAGGGAGCGGGCGAGAGCCGTGCACACACACAGCCGCACAGACGCGCGGCCGGCGAGGAAGAGGAAGCGAGCAGGAGGCAGAGCGGAGCCCGCAGCTCGCCGTGCCCGCGGCTGGCAGCAGCATGCCCACCCTCCGCATGGCCACCTGGGGACTGTACCTGCAGCTTCTCTCCTGCTGGGCTTTCTCTCACAGCCCCTACGCTGACAATGCCTTCTCACTCTCAGCAGGTAAATCGCTTTTAGTCTCTTTGCTTTGCCTCCCTCGGACCTGCACGCTGCTTCTTGCACTTCGCAGCAAGTGAGAGCATAGGAGTGACAAATTCCCTTGCAGATCTGGGACGTATTTCTTGCTTGGTGGCTTTTGCTTTATTACTTCTGGTTTTATGCCCTTCCCAGTGAGAAATAACAGAGAGGAGCCCCAGCCACATTAAAATGCTTTTTCTCTGACTGGTTTGGTGCTGCACTAATGCGTGCTGCCAGAGGACGTGGCCCAATTAATGTATTACTTGCACGTCTGCCTGTTTCTTTCTATTTTGGATGATCCTAGGTGGATTACAGCAAGGGAAAAAAAATGAATCTCAATGTATATCTGCTTCTATAAATAAAGCCCTGACCTCAATGTGTGCTGCTGGAGCTCGACTGGATGTTAGCAGAATAAACATCATCTGGCTCTGGCTATGACACTAACAAATATTCGGATGGCTCACATAGCAAACAAGAGTCCACTGCATGGAAAATCCCTGCTAGGCAAAGGCAAAGCAAATTACTTGTCAGCTGAGCAGGAGCACTGCAAATCCCACTTAGCAGGTTTTACAGTGCGGTCAGCAAGACTCCCCTCTACCCACGTTCTGTGCAAAGGAAGGAGAAGGGGAACGAGAACTCCAACCCCATCTCTGGTTGGAGGAACTCTCATCATGTTGTGGTAGAGTATTTATAGCTGAAAGATGCCTCTAGCTAGAATCCTAGATTTCTTTTGCATCAGATTTGGGATGGTTCAGGTGAGACTTGTAGGGAGGCATCAGTTTTGCCTTCAGATCCTCCCAGTGTTTCTGACATTAACACAGCCTCCAAAAGGGTGCACATTCCAAAACTGTACATAAAATCAACTTCAGACATAGAGTTAAAGGTGCACAATCTTTCTCTCTCCATCTCTCTCATGTTTCTGTGTTACCACAGCCAAGCTTATGGTGTATTCTCAAGGCATTTGTGGCACTGAGGGACATGGTTAGTGGGCATGGTGAGGATGGGTTGGTGGGTGGACTGGGTGATCTTAGTGGTCTGTTCCAACCTTGATGATTCTATGATTCTGACAGAGAATAATGATCAGGAAGACAGCCTGTGCAGGACAACAGATTTCTGGACTAAACTGCAGTAGTGAGACAAGTGATTTCACCTATGTTTGTTTGTTTGTTTCCTTGTTTGCTTGTTTGTTTAAGCAAAGCTTTTGAAATACACGGAACTAACACACTGTATTTAACCCCCCGTGGTTTGAACAGATCATTCATTTAGAAATATTTGAATAATAAGATTTTGTGGGCCAAAGGGTTGTGCAGTCATCATCTGGGGAAAAGTCCCATAGCATTTAATAACATAGCCATTAGATTTCCGCAGTCATTTCAGATAGCTTTTAAGATAGCATTTAGGGAAGCCTAATGCTTGAAAAAAGGCATCCCTTAAAAAACAAATAAATCCATCTGTCAAACCTCTAGAAACTGGTATGTTTTTCTGCTGAGTTCTCTGCAACGCTAAAAAGCATTTTCATTTGTTATCATCTCTATTATGTTGGGTAGGATTTCTCCAAAAAGTTCATATTAATTAATGCTGAGGTACAGAAACCATCAAAACTTATTTTCTCTGATGAGAAATGGCCTTGCAATAACATGTAAGTTGTTAGACCTCAAAAGTTGTTTTAATGGGCTTTACCTTGCCTTGAAGCTAGTAGATCCCAGCCAGACAAACACAAAGTTCATCTCTCTAATGCTCATATGGCCTGGTGTTGCCTATGCAGTGATTTTTCTCCTGTGGAATATACTTCAGTGCCCAGAGATGACATATAAATTGTTATCATTAAAAAAACAAAACAAAACAAAAAAAAACAGCCTAGGGGATAGGTCCTTCCGAGGGGCAAAGTTCCTATATCTTGTGGCAATGTAGTGGAAGAGGAAACAGGGAGTAGAAGGGAAATGCACAGCCTGGGGTTGTCAGCACCGGTTCTTTGGGGAAAAAAAGTTCATCAGCAACTTTATAGTTCATCAGCAACTCAGCTGTGTAGCAGGGAGATACAAAAACTCTTTGAGTCCTTAAATCTGCACCAGTCAAGACAGAATAACAATAATTGCAGATAAGGAGGAGTATTTTAGAGCAGTAGTGCCACATGTAAAGGTGTAACTCTCAGGGTGGCATAGTGTCAGAGTGTGTGCTTGGGGCTGACAGGCTTGTTTTCTGGCCAAATGTCTTTCAGGCAGCAGTAGTTTATGATATGGGCAACCCTTGATATGAGCTGCTGCAGGGCTCTGCTCCTCACAGCCTGCTAAATTCTCTAGTTGGTTCTCTATTTTCTAGTAGAAATCTCACAGTGTGCAAGAAGGTGAATTAATTCCATTTAAATTCTCAGTGATTTTAATGATTTTTCAAATAGTCTGTGACTGTCAGCTGATTGAATTATTTGAATCTGGCACCAGGATGTAATTTTGCATTTAAGGAATAGATTTCAGCACTATACTTGCAAACTCTAAAACAAACGGCAGTCAACAGCAAAGATGTTCTTCAGCAATGTTTTGTCTTTCCTACAATTGGAAGATTACAGAGAGGTATTTTCCAAATGTATCTGAAAACTTCTGGGCTGAAAATACTGTCTCACACATCTTTCTATAGCGTTAAGTCACAAATATAAGTGTTCACGTAGCACAAGCTGCTAACTGTAAAGCCAAGATAAACAACTGGTAGGGAGAAGCACATGTGTAGAATAATTAGGCAAAGAAGAACAATCTGCATCATTTTCTGTTTTGCTCCCAACTCCGAGTTATAGTCCCATCAGACTCAAGCAATAGCACATCGTTGCTCCTAGAAGTATTGTGAATGCAATGTCAGCACCAAACAGTGATTCCCCTGGTGCTGAAGCATCATCTCAAGGAAAGTGCTGTAGGGATTAACAGTACATTATAACACACTTAAGCACGTGGCTGTGGTGAAGAGAAGGCTCCAGAGAGATGTGAGAGAAGCCCCTCAGTATCTAAAGGGGGTCTGTAAGAAAGAAGAGGACGAGACAAGGGGATATGGCTTCAAACTAAAGGAGTGGAGCTTTAGATTGAACAGAAGGAAGAAGTTTTCTTACCGTGAGGATGGTGAGGCACTGGAACAGGTTGCACATAGGATTGGTAGAAACCCCATTCCTGGAGATGTTCAAGGTCAGGCTGGATGGGGCACTGCGCAGATACAGAGTTGGACTAGATGACCTTTAGAAGTTCCTTCCAACTCAAACAGTTCTATGATTTTCTGTTATCCTCTCCTTCCTCTTCCCCTTTTCTGCTCATCCATGCTACAGGTTTCTTGGGCTCTGCATGGAGACAGAAAGTATTTGATATACCTCCAGGAGCTGGAGAAGAGCAGTATCTGTGCTTTTTCTGACCCAAACTTCCTTTTATGTATCATACAAATGTATCAATTGATTGATTTTTTTCCTGAGATCAATATTCAACGCAAAGCCTTATGAAAAAAGTATGGTTGATTAATTTAAACAAATGCAACGGGACTGAATGTTACTGGCAGTGTTCCTAACACCTTCTCTGCCTTTGTCTCTGCTTTCCCAAAAGAAGGGAGCTCTGGGCTCCACAGGGCACGACCTATTTGAATCTGAATTACTGACTGAAAATACACAAATTGTAAAAAAATAAAATAACAAAATTGGCTAAAATGCAAATAGAAAGGGCTCAGCTATTTGCTGCTTAGGATGAGTATCATGAACCTTCACTTACTGCAGGAAATGCAGATGATCAGGTCAAAGGAGCAGGCGTTCCTATTTCACCCTGGTTTAATATAAAGGTCAGCACAGCTGGCTTCTAGTGGTAAGCTGATAAGCATCCTGAAATACCAAACCGGGACTCCCAAAGTACTGGCAGATGGGACAAGCTGGAGGCCAGTTCCATTTTATTTCTGTGGGACATGCCTTGTGTTACAAGCGAAGCAGGTGTCTGGCTTCAGGCTACAGAAGTTCCCCTGGAGAGGGCACCTCAGACTTGTTTGGGGTGAACAAGTTCTGCCACCTGAGGCAGATGTGAGCACAGGAATTGGCATGGTGCTGTTTTGGCTGGCAGTGCTGGGCACACAGGGCAGCATGGAAACCATAGGGGTGAGATGTGCACAAAGAAAGAAAATTTACAGTGTACTGGCTAAAATGGAAAGTGTTGAATGTTTTCTAGATCATGGCAATTTTTAGCATGGAGGCTTTGCTAACCTATTTCATGCTGTAGCATAGTAGGTAGAAGGAAATGGGAAAAGCCCTTTTAGCCCTCAAGGGGAAGTCTTTGAGAATGATCTAGAATAGGAGAGGGAGCAAAAGCCAATAGGAATTCACAGAAACTGTCCTAAATGTGCTTCTTCCCTTCTCTTCTCCAAGGAATCATCTCTTTAATGAGAAGGGTATCAGGGGAATGCTCTTTGTTTGCAGACAACTATAGTGGGAATAGAGCATTTGGAATAGAAGATGGATGTAGAGAAAGGTGAGTATAGGAAGAGTGCAAAAGAGTTCTGTCAGAGTGGGTGGAAAGAGAAAAGCAGCTGTTACTCGTTTTTTGCTAGTATATATCTATCCAGGCTTGCATGCAAATATATGGAGATGCTTCACTTAAGGTAGGGCTGCAGTTTCAGTTTTCTTGTGCCTATGGAAAAGTATCAGTGGACTCTTTTAGTCTCTCCAACCTACAAAGCCATGATTTTTTACAACACCAAGTCAATCAGAGCTATTTCTTTGTGAAAGGCCAGGGAATAAAGTCAGCTGGGCTGTGATTCTGTTGCTGTGAGGCAGTCACAAGGAATTAATGTAGTCCATGGCATCAAAGTTTCTAACAGGAATTTGAAAGCATTTCTCTGGTACCTTTCAGAGTATACAGCAACATCCATGTCCCCCGACGGATTGTCTGGGACTGTCTGAACACACAATGGACCAACATCAAAGTCAAGCACACTTCTGATCCATGCCAGCCCTGCAGTCTTGCAGTTGGAGAGGGATGGCACTGTTGTCTGCTCTGGTGCTACTGATCTCACAGATAAAGTGGGAGAGGAATGTGTGACAGTGAATAGCAGGCAGAAGTCTGACACAGCAGCCATCTTGCATGAAGACTTAAGGCTTCAGGCTCTTCTAGGGGTGGTACTAACCTCTTTAATACTCAATGTATTTGTAACATCGTTATAGTATGGCAAGAAATTGAGTTTTATAGTTGATTCATAACATTATTGGGATGAAGTATTGCAATTGACAGGACTGAAACTCTCATTCCCGTTCTGTTATCAAGTCATCCATAATTGTGGGGGTGTTGCTTGACTTTTGTGTGCCTCAACTTCTCATGCATGGAGAAAAAGCATATAGAGCTGCCAGCATTTGTGAGCTGTGTCTAGAGCCCTGGACCTCAGCAAGTGGAAGCCAATAGAAGCAAACCCAAACTGTCTGAGTGAATACTGACTAGGCAGCATGCCAGGGTCCATGCTATCTGCAAGAGTTTTTGAGCGCCAGCTCATTTTAAACATTTCTATGTATTTATTTATTATGACAGCTTCAGTCTATATGGCAGATGGTGAAATGCGTGTAAATTCTGCCACAACTGGTAGCCACCCTGGGGATTAGGATTTCTGACACAGTATTTTCGTATTTCTATCCGTTGCTGGAGTATTTATTGTTTCATCAAAGGGGAGGGGGAGATAGCTCCATCCTGGAGCTCCTGCAGCGCAGATATCAGTGCATAAGCTGTAGATTTGCTGCATTTCATTGCTATATTTACATCACCTGATACATAGAAAAGGGTATATTTAGGCCATAAGGCTTGTGTTCATGAGGACAGAGAGATGTACCCTGTTCCTGAGCTCAGCTGTCTGACCCAGCTCCAGACATGAGCTCATGTCTGGAGCACCCCAGCTCTACCTGCCCACCTTCACCCACGCCTCCTCATGCGGCTCCCTGCCCCGGGAACAAGCACTTTGGCAGCTCTTAATGTTTTCTGATTTCAAAGGGAAGAAATGGTCACCTTGAGTAGATACACAGGGTAACACATGACAGCCGCTGCCTGTGGCAAGCTGCCATCCTTGCAAGGCAGTTGAGAGGAGCCTGAATGAACAGCAGGAAAACAGATAAGCTCTCAGTTTCAGCCAGACAAGCCCACATTCATTGACTAACTCATCTACCCAGCTTGATTATTATTAATTCTGACCACCATCCAAGTGGGGAAGCACTTGGGGCTGGGTGTCAGTGGCCAGAGGTGTCCGGTGGGCTGGCCATGCCAGCCAGTGAACAAGCAGGCCGCTGTGCAGCTACTGGGGACACGGCTTTGGAGAGCAGCTCGGCTTCTGGTCAGGGTTTGTGAGATGAATGTGGCTGCAAATAGGGAGGGAAACACATGTTAAATATTTTTTTCATGCCATGCCCTTTTGTCCTGCCATTGTCCTTGATCCAGCTAGCCTACACCTTCGTGTTTGCAGCGCAGAGGTCACTTTCCCAGTTTACTTACCATTTATTGCAATGGAATCCTGTAAATCTATGCTGTACCTGGTGCAGCACTTCTGTTACCTTTGTAGTAGCCACAGGGGTTCGCAATGTTAGGTTAGCTCTAGGATCAGATCTAGGAGGGCTCGGGACCCTTGTATGGGCCCTGCTCTGGATGGCCCAGGCAGTGCCCATCTCTTCTCCGGCTCTGCTTTGGACTATCTCACATCACAGCTTTTGACTTCCAGCCAGCACCAGAAGTAAGCAGTATGCAGCAATGCAGTGAAACAATGCAACAGCCTATCTAAAATACCTTATTTCTTGAAGTAACCACTATTCCTATACCTATAAATTGAGGTAGTCACTTTCTTGAATACTTTTTGAACAGTAAAAATAATTTCAGTTTGAAAATGTTTAACACTTTCTGATTATTTTAATTGTTATGCTCTCTGAAGCCAACTGCCATTTAGATGAGTTCAATAAGGAGTTTTTCTTTTTGTCTTCCTTCTCTTACTGAATACTTTCTTTGGTATCAAAGCTGTTGGAAGGGCAGTTTCCATACAAGATGTGTAAACAAACTCCCTGTGTAGGCAGGGCCTTTGCATTTCACAGAAAACTGACAGCCCTATTCTTGGGCTGAGATTTTTTCCACTGATGGGGACTAGAGTGTTATGAAGCTGTATTTAGCAAACAAAGCTGACCTGGAGCCTAACAGTATAAATTGCATTTGCTTACAGCCAGCTCGCCTAACAAGGAAATCAATGGCTATTTTGCTGCCAACTTTGTTAGCTCTAATGGTTTTCATAATAAAAATGTTTCAAAGAATTTCAAACTTAGATTCCAAGAAAAGGAATATCCCAATATTTTATAACCCAGAACTTGACTTTACTCATGAGGACGTGGTAAGTATACAGTTAAAACTGTAGATGCACACTTACAGTTAATCTTATCCTTGCAAAATATTTGAGGTACAAAATATTTAATTTCCTAATTTCTTTTTTTAATATTGTTTTTATTTTATAAGTATATTACAACTGCAGCAATGCAAACCTTCTTCTACAGTGACTGTTAGCAATCTGTTAGCAATTAAGCCATGTCAGACCATCTCTGATATTCTTATTCATATTGAATGACAATAAACTTACTGAAATTGATCTAGAATAATGCATTACTAAGAAACAGCATATTGTTATGTAGCCTAAGATAATATCATAATCAAACTGTATGTCTTTTTAGATTACAAGCTGCACATAACAATATGCATTTTTTTAACAATATGCATTTTAGTCCCAATGCAACATGTTCAAATACAGTCCTGGAATTAAGAAAACCCCAGAAGTATGTAGGCTTAAAATTCAAGACCTCTGCTACAGCTGTTTAACAGTAATTGAAGTCAGGGTCAGGCTGTATTGTTTATCTCTGTATTTTATTGTGTGCATGAACTGAAGGTTTTTGTTGAGTTCAAACTTTGGAGGAAAAGTTGAGGAGAGGAGTCTTTATTGTGGACCCTTTGTCTCACCTCTCAAAGATATCATCTCAAATAGTTTTGTTAGAGAAAAAAGCCTGCATAATGTAAGTCACTTCTGAAGACTGGTGCCAGTAGCAATCTGTGGTGATTTTTTTTTTTTGAGAAAGGAAAGCAATAGAACTTTGTGATAAATATTCTTGTTAAGAAAGGTAACTGAAATGAAGTTTATGAAATGCGTTCCCTTGAACCCTGTCTCTACAGGCAGGGTCTGATTTAACCTGGCATCAGTGGAACCAGCTGCAACTGGCCTCTGTGTACAAGTGGCTACATGCCTGAGGTGACCCCTGCCATCGCCAGTGGGTCTGTCACTGACACCCAAGGAGCTGAGAGAGCACCTGAGCTGCTGTTTGGGCAGCCACTCTGAGGTCTTAACAACCACACTCATCTGGACAGCTGCTTTCTGTGCACCAGGACTGGGGAAATGCTGTCCCCATGAATGTGGGGTAGTGAAACATGATGTAATACATCTTCTGAGACATTTGAAAACCTGCAGTTATTTCTGCCCCTTAGAGAAATCTGTCTTACCTTAAGATGTGACAAAAGCAGGCCTGCAACCGATTTGCACACAAATGTAGCAATTTTGCCAAGTTTATCTTCCTATAAACTTAATTTGGGGATTTTCAATTAATACCAGATACTTCACCATAGGCTTTTCTTCCTACAGTATCTGGCTCCCTGCCACCCCTCATTTCACAGACACCCGTTCTGGCTGCCAGTGTTCAGAGTAAAAGCCAACAGACACAAATAAATATTTACTGCATTTGATGGGAACAGGAAGATGCTGCTTCTAATAGACTTTTAGAACAACAAGAGAGAGAGTGAGAGAGAGAAATAGGCCTATTTCATTGCCGTGTTAAGAGTTTGGGACTCAGCATAGCCTTCAGAATATGAGGGACATTGTATATTTGAGGGACTGCATGGAATCTGAAATTTTGGCTTAGATGCTTCAGTGGACACAGGATGTAGAAAAGTGGTGTGGAATGGAAGCTCACCTTATTCTGTGAGAAATATTTGTGGTGTTCAAGACAACGGATGCGTGTTTGTGTTGAACAGATCTCCCTTGTTTGGAACAGAAGCAGCAGCCTCCCCACAGAGCGTGCTGCTTCCTCATCCCGCCGCCGCCGCCCATGTTCCCGCCACCGCGCCTCAGGCACGACTGGAGCTCTGTAAGTGTGGCCGAGGGGCCTTCCTCTTCTTCTTACATGCATTTTGATGTTTGACAAAGACTGACACGTCCTTTCTGAGCACTTCTTCATGGTGTCACTCAGCAAACACCTCTGGCTGTGACAGCTACAGATCTGGCTACAGATGTCCTATTTTGCATCACTTTTGCCTTTGTTACATAAAGGTCCTGAAATCCTTCTGTGGAATCTGTTCCCACCATTATGCAAAAATGAAGGGTGTGTTTGAGTAGCTGGTATGGATTTTTCACTCACACACATATGGATATTCCTGCTTTATACAGTATGTATCCATCCATACACGTTAACATAAATAGTACATGGTATGTAGTGGGTATATGGTACAGCAGTTTGACCACATGCCCTTATTGCCAGGACCTGTTACCTCCAATATGTTTTCCATTCCAACATAATGAATTTTTCCACCTACTAGTAAATCCTGTTTCTTAATTCTACTCTTCATTTACCATATCCAAATATAGCAATTATCACAAGCACTATATACATATAGTGATCAGAAAAATTTCTGATGAGAACTAATTCAAGGAAAAATACAGCATAAAATCCCCTGTTGCCTTCAAAGATAATGGGACTGAGCTCAGTGTATTATTTCCCCATCCCAAAACCTTTACTCATCCCTTGCCTAACCCTCTCCTGCCTGTGCCATGGTTTCCTGGGAAGAAGACTCAGAGAAAAGATCCCCTTAGGAAACATGGTATATTGCTTCAGGCCCCTCAGTGAGAATGAGTTTGGGACCACAACCAAATATTCCAGAAAGTAATCTGAATAGAAAATTACTCCTGGCACCATCTCCCCGTAAATTAAAAATAAAAATAAAAAATTAATTAAGTGGTTACTAGGAAAGTGGGAGCTGTGTGAATTCTCAGTGAGGACTCTGTACTTTGAAGTTTATGGTTGGAATTTTTCTGGAAAATGGCTTTTCACCTGGTTGATGTAGAGCAACTTTATTAACCCAGTGTTTCTGCTTCAGTGCTTGCTTTTATTTCTAGGGGAGATAGGTATCTTTTCTGATAGGACATAAGCATACCAGTTTGCTCATGCAAGCCCAATTTTAAAGTCAAATTATTAGAGATCTATTGGTCTTCAAGGGAATTGCCTCTGGTTGGCAGTGAATGAGTGCCTGGTTGATATCTACTGGAACGAAGTTCACACTGCCCATGTCCCTTCTGAGTGCAGCCTGTATTATTAGAGCAAAGCTGCTATTTTTGGAGAGGAGTTGCCACTTGTGAAGCGTGATGGAGGGAGCAGGGTCAAGGCTAAGAATAGCCCTGGGTCCCACGCTGGCTCAGGGGGGATGCGATAGCCCAGCTGCAGCGCGCCTGGAAAAGGAGGAGGAAACATGGGACAGAACACCATGCTGAAGTGATAATGTTGAAGCATCCATGAAGATAACCTTGTGACAAATCACAGGCTTCTCCCTACGGCAGTGAATAAGTGCTCTTCAGGCTGTAGTGGCTGTGTATTTTTCCATGTTTTCTGTAAGTGCTCACTCGTACATTTTATCTTACGTAGAGGCTGCTTGATCTGGACATGAAGGAGTTGTGTCAAGAGCTCCAGACAACACAGGCCTTCTCTCTGCCTGAGTCACGTTGCCCTGCAGGGCCTCCTGGCCCCCAGGTGAGTGATGCATTTGTGACCAAACCACAGTACTCTCTCACTCGCTCCAAAGTCCTTATAATGCTGTTAAACGTTTTCTGTAAATGCCTTTTATAGCCTAATAAGCATATCAAGCTCTGGCTTAAATTCATTTTGACATGACTATGCATAAATCGTGTTGGTTTTTTACCTTGTGTTCTCATCCCTGCCCTGAATATTCCAAGTTTGAAGTTCAGCTTTCATTTTCATGGAGTTTTACAGTGGGTAGCAACCCTGAAGAACCCCAGAGGTGCCATCACCTCTTTCTGAGGCTCTTTGTTGGTTTATTTGTTTGCTTTAGACTCTCGTTACATGAGAAGAGAGCCTGCAGAACTGAGGTGCAATGAACTTGAAGGTTTGTGGAGTACCTCCCTGTAAAGGATAATACCTACAGTGCAGGCTAGGGACAAGGAAGGGCTTTTGGGTGGGGCTCAGGAGATGTAGGCTTATCCAGTGTGTCTTTGCCCCTGGCTTGCTGGGCAGCCCTTTTGATCTTTCATTTTCTACACTTTGTACAGTTAGGGCAGGAGGCCTGAAATCTACTGAGAAAATGTTCCACATGTAAGGGAGAATTTTCTGTAAAAGTCTCCAAACTGAGGAGAATGCCACCCACCTGCTTTTGCATTCCAGTCTGTACCATCCAATATAGAATAAAACATAAGGGAAAGTCATTTAGCATGTAAATTAGGAGACATGGAGAAGTGATGGTAAAAGAAATGTTTGTGTTGCCCAGTGCTGGGAAAAGTCTTCTCTGCGTTATGGAGCAGCCCTGTGGTGTGGCTGGCCACCATCTAGAGCTGCAACACATGTGGAAGAAGCTGTTGGTTTTTCAGTCTTCACCAGATTGTCTTTTTGAAAAAAAAAAACCTCTTTGTACCATCTCTGATTTGAACGGGAAGAACCATCATATCCATTCTGTTGTTTTGCAAGATCCAACTGATAATTAACCTCACAAATGAATTATCTGTGATCCCTCCAAGAATGTTTTTAAATGGAGTAGGCCAACAGATTGTATCACAGCACAGACAGTAGGATGGGTTTAAGATCGCTTTGGAATTCTTAAGTATGAGGTTTTTTTTCTAGAACAATGTTAGAGCCAGTAATCCTCTGGACAACAAACTTGTGTCAATGGTCATGGAAAAATAAATGTTACTGTTGCTAAAAATAATCTAAGAATTAATTCTGGATTGCTTTCTGCTATAAGTGTGTGAATTTGTCATAATAAGGAGAATTAATTTATAAATAAATTTATAATGATGTGACTCTGCGTGTAATTCCTCCCGTGTTTAACCTAGCATAAAATGAAAAAAAAGTAGATAAACTTTGATTCAGACTATAATCAGCTACATTCTGATTTACACTATTGAAAGCCTAAAATAACTCTGCCGACTAAAATAGTTGGAGTAATTTACATTTGAGGATACAGTTTGCTCCTGCTCATGTACAATTTGCATCATGTTTTGCATGGTATAAGACAGCGAGGCTCCAAACCTAAAGTGAGCAATTTGTATGGTGAACATAATGCTCCTTTCAGTGTGGCTCATGGGATTTCCCTTAGTCATTCGGAAACAAACGGGGATCTCTTGACTGAAGCACTCCAGAGACAAAGCTGTTTTTTTCTGAGCTGGGATTCAAGGTCTCCATGGGTTAAGAAATCTTCTGAAAGGGGAATATGCCTCACATGAGAGAGAGAAATATCTTAATGTTTTGTGGCTTAAACAGATGTGTGAGGCTTGGTCAGTCTTTATTTCAAAGACGTTTTTTGTCTTTTCTAACCATGAGTTTCAAATTATGTCATCCTTGCCCATTATTTATGCTTCCCAAAGCCGCATCTCTTCATTCAGTTATAATTTCGGGGAAGTAAGAAAAGATGTTCAAAAAGCTGCTGTTGTTTATCTTTGAAAGGCAGCTTCACACAACATGGGAAACACAGATTCATGGTTTTTTAAATTGCTCACAGAAAACAAGTATTTCCTCTGAACAGCTTACATCTGGGCTGCACACCAAGCAGCAGGAGGCTGCAGAGAATAAAAAAATTAAGTTTCCTGTTTAACTAGAAATTTATGATTTGTTTAAGCAGGAGGGTTGGATATCAGAAAAAGGTTGTGTACCAGAGGGAGTCTGAGCACCAGGGCAGTGGTAAGGGTCTCACACTGACTGATTTCAAAAAATATTGGGTCAAAACTTTCACTCATGGAATCTGATTTTTGGATGGTCCTGTGTAGAGCTAGGAGTTGGACTCAGTTTTCCCTGTGGGTTTCGTCTAACTAAGGATATTCTATGATTCTACGATCTTTCCTATGCCTTAGGTCCTTTTTCTTCCTATTTTCTTTGTTTAGGAGATGCCCCTGCACTTCCCATGTCAGTGCAACTCTCCAGTTGCCTTCAGAAATGACACAGACCTGGCATTTAGAGACAGTGTTCAAATAGCACATTCAACACCCTGACCTTGTGGGTTTACATCATTCCCCATTGACACCCACTGGGCTGTGGGTTGAGGGAAGGTGACGTCCTGGTGCCTTCTCACAGATACAGCTCAATAACAGCAGTTGTTTCTCTCCCTAGGGTCCACAAGGAATTCCTGGTATAATGGGACCAAAAGGGGAGAAAGTAAGTGCCTGTTGTTATGAAGTTTGGTGTGGTTTTGAGAAGTCAAGGAAAAGAATTGAAGGGAGGGTGTTGCACGTACTTTTTTTCATGTCTGTTTAGTCTATGATGGGACATAAATACATATGGGGATTTGCTTTATTTGAATGTAAATCTATGGATGGATTTGAAGCTATAATTTAAGGCTTTATCTTCCAATGTTGACTTTCAGTCTCAAAATATTTTTTTATGGCTTCTCATGACAACTATCTGTCTCTACACTATGGTTGAGAGAGCAGCTTGTGTGCCAAATCAGTGCTCTTACTAATCCCTGTACTTAAAACACCTCCTCCTCTGGGAAGACATGAGGGACAGAGCTCACCCACACAGCGTTGGTTGTGTGGGCCAGCTCATGTTAAAAGCAGTTTTGATATTAATGAATGGCTTTAGACTTGCAAAGCATTTGTACCATGATGATGCCTACCTGAAACTGGGCACAATTGCCTGCTTTTCTTCATAAGGAAGTGGCTGTAGATTCAGGGCTGAGAGTGCAGGAAAAGCCTAGGAGCTTTAAAGTAATTCTTCTCATTTTACTTCTGGAAAAAAAGTTCTGAATGCAAAGGTATTCCCAGTGCTCTTTATAAATGCATTGACTAAAGAGCCTCTGTGGTCTGTGTGATATGTCTAACACATTCCTTTTTCTGGCAGGGGGAGATTGGCAGGCCGGGAAGAAAGGTATGGATGAAGGTGCTGCCTCGGACACCAGCCCAACACTTGACATGCACAGGCAAACACTGAATATAAATTGGCAATTATTGAAGTTCACCCTGCCTGTGTTGCTCCAACAGCCAGGAGATGGCAGGGAGCTCTGGGTGCAGGGCTGGAGAGCTGCCACAGCTGGTTTAATTCAGTTAATTCCATTAATAAGAGCATCCACCTCCAGCCAGACAATAACAAGAGCGGGAAATTACCTGAACTACTTCTCTGTGGATAAGGGAAGCAGAGTATAGGACCTACCATAAAAGATAAAAATAAACAAAACCAACAAAGCCAAATCAAACTTTTTACTTCTTGAAAGCAGGGCCGGGATGGACCCAACAGCCCCTATGGAGGAATGGATATTAATGATTACACTTCCAGAGCTTTGGCACCGATGCAATATGCTGACTACAATCCTGTGCTTGTTGACATATGAGCCATGATACATTGTCAAAAATATGTGCCCCTAAGTGTGATGAAACAGAATATGTTATCTCAGTTACTAAAAGTGCTTCCATTTAATGTAATTAATTTTAAAAGAAGACAGAAATGCAGGATGAAATCAGAGATATGCAGGGGGTAGTCACTAACCAGGAAAAGAGATACTGTTCTAATAATAAGCAAAGGCAGCTACTGATCAATGATTCTAATAAATAGGATACATATAAACAAAGAGATTTGTAGATTTATCTGCATTTCAAACATCCCACAGTAAGCAAAGGTATTATCTGTATAAAAATCATCAAAATTAATGTCTCAGAGAGAGTCACCCATCAAGTTACAAGAGAGTGCAAACCTCAAACCGTGGTGTACTTCCACTTCTGACAAATACTGATAGGTCCCAAAGGAGAAGCTACCAATACAGTATAAAAACAGTGTAATTCCTGCTAAAAGCTGCCTGGCTCAAGGGAGGTCTCTGTTAGCTTCAAAGCTGTGATCAGATTTCCAGGATTGTATTTTCAAATGATATAAACAGTGGAATAGCACTAATCTGCAGCATTTTAGGAGCTAGCCAAAGAGTGAATTACAGGCAGTAGTTAAAAGAGATAAATAACTTCTTGTATTATTGCAAATCATGTAGTAGGTGATAAAGAACAATTGTATGTGAGTATGACTGCTCAGAATGAAAATATTGGAGGAATAAGAAGAGGAATATCTTAGTTAAAGGTTTGGGTCTGTTCTTACTATAAAATGCACTTCTTGGAGGTCTTTGTGATGCATTTGTTCTATATTGTTTGCTTTAAATGAGAGTAAGGTCAAAGTTAGTAATATTGGCTTTTTTTTTTTTCCCCTAGTGGTTATTTTGATTAAATGTAGATTTCTCTGTAGCTGATCTACTTATTTGAATCAGTATAAATTGATACTTCTGTGAGTCCGCATTTCATCTGGCGGTAATGCAAACAGTATTATGAATATAAAACAGTGTTTTTTTATAGTAAAGAAGCATTTGCAGATGTTTTCCTGAAAATACAATATCCTTCCATATCTACTTTCTGCAGTGTAGACCTGTGTGTAGAATGATGTTACATGAATTGTTGTAACCAATGTTTTCCGTTCAAGGGTAGACCAGGTCCCCCGGGTGTCCCTGGGATGCCAGGACCAATAGGATGGCCTGGACCTGTGGGACTGAAGGTAAGACTGAAATTAATATAGGATAATCTACTAAACTTCATGATCTGAACACAAGGGCTGCTTAGGAAGCCTGTACACCACTCTGCTGGAGACTGGGGAGGTGAAGCAGTGTGAGGACACTCAGTGCTTGCCTGATTTCTTACACTGCTCTGCAAAAACCTTACACTGCACAATCAGCCTAACCCCATGCAGCACTTAAAACATGTCACAGGTAAATTGAAAATCAAGTCTAATAAAGACTCACTGATAACCACTGTTGTTTCACAAACACGTGAATCAGTGTTTCAAAACTGGCCATTGTCTCTTATGACTGTTCTTGATGATCTCTTTGCTTGAATATACTTTGACAATATAAAGGGAAAATGTCAGGCTACTTTCAGGGGAAAAGGATTACAGACCACGTGGATTAATAATGTGTTCTTTGACCTCACTCCCATACAAGCAGACATTCATTCCAGTGAGTTTTTGTAGCTAATAGCAGTAGTAATGGCAGGACATACTTTACTATTGCAGAGTGATTACTCCATTTGTTATAAACCAAGCTGCAGAACAGTCCTCTGAGTTTTACCTAACACAGATATGCAGATCTACAGTGGAGCTACTAAACACAAGGTTTCTGCTGGGACACTTGAGATAGATAACCTGCTTTTATCTATCCAGGATGTATCAGGCAAAATGATGGCATATTATGCTTATTTTCAAACGGCATTTTTGAGGGAATCTTTGACTGTTCATTCACTCCATCATAGCTGCTAGCCCATCTCAGAGGACACGATGCCATACATTTTGCTGCTGCAGGAATAATAGTAAACAACTTCTGAATTCAAGCCATACCTGGGAAGCAGACCCTCAAGCTCCTTATGGTTGTGTTAGATGAGGAGCATCATATTCTGCATAGTATGTGGGAGTGTAGGCAAGGAACTGTGCTTTTCAGTCAGTGTACTAAAAAGGAGCCAAAGTTCACTTTGAACTGAGAGACAGGGAATGGTGTCCTCCCAAAAGCACTGCGGAGATTTCCTGCAGTGGGAGCAGTGAGGGCAGAAGGAAGATACTGCTACCTACTTTCCACACGGTCCTGAGAGTGGAGCAGTCAAAACTCATTCATTTTGCTTTTTTTTTTTTTTTTCTTTTCAGTATAAGCTCTAGTTATATTTCTGAAGACTGTCTAAATTTGTTTTTAATACCTCTTTGCTATAGCTTTTTTCATTGCACTTCCAGAAGCATTTCTCACATTCAGGAGTAATATTCGGTCGTATCTCTCTTTCCTTTTTCTTCTGATCTCTGACCTTCGCATAATCTGATAGCCACCTTCATTATAGTCATTCTTTGCACTTTATTCTTGCTGTAAATACCCTGCAAACTGTTTTGCTTTGTTTTAAGCCACGTTCTCATCTCTGCCTTCTATTTCTTTGGTTGGATCTACTTCCTCTTTGTCAGACACACTCTTGTCCAATCTGTATTTCTTCTACTTTGTTTCTTCGGGTCTTTTCTGAACTGCTGAGGCAGCAGCCAACATGAAAATCCTCTCTAGTGCTGGGAAAGAGAGTTAACTGTGTTCTGTTGGTAGGGCTGTTGCATGTCTGCAGAGTCTGCCCTTAGGTATAATTAGTGGCAGCAGCCAGAGAGGATATTGTAAAGCCTTTACATGATTTATTGTATCTAAACCACTGTAAAGCCCATTATATCTCAGAATGATGATAAAAGTAATCATGCCTCTTCAAGCCATAAAGGCTTGCAACAAAATACCTTTCTTTTCTGCAACTCAGTAGAAGTGATGTTTGGAAGAAACAGTGCAACTTGATGTAGAAAAAGGATGTACTTCTGCTGCTTATTTGCTTTCATGTCACTTAATGGCATCTACCAAAACTGAAGCACAAATTGCACACCCAAGAAAATAGGAGAACAAGAGAATACATGAGGTCACAGATAGAACACAAATGCAATAAGAACTCTGACTATGTTACAGGAAGGTCAGACTTGCCTCATGTATTTGTCACAAAACCCAGAACACTGAACTATCAATCAGACATTCAGCTATGACTTCAGCAGAGAGCCACAATCAGTAACTTTCTTTATTGACCTCCTTAGGGTGAAAAGGGAGATGTGGGTGTGATGGGATTGCCAGGTACCAGAGGACCAATGGGCTCCAAGGTTTGTTAAGCAAATGCTGCATTTTCAGACGTTGGTTTCTAACGCTCTGCTGACAGCTGCTTCCCTCATAAATTTGCTGGAAAGCATTTATCAAGACATAGCTTTTTAAATACAGCTAGAGGTGCAAGTTCTCCTTCAAGCAAGGCTGTGTTTTTTGGTTGGGCTTGGCTGCATTTTTGGCTTTTCATAAAAATGCTCTGGTGCAAGTTACTGCATAATGCGAAAATTTATTTTAAAAGCAAAGCAAATATGTAACAATCCCACTGGAATACTGCAGTTCTTCAGTATACCTCCGCCATTAACTCATACCTGCAATGGTTTTCACCCACCTCAGAAGACTGGAGAACGTTTGTATCTTCTACTAAAGCTATGTGTATGTGTTGACATTTGGATAGTAAGCTCAGTTTGGTCGGGAGGGTCTGTTATCTGCGCATCATTTTCTATAACATGGCTTCTGCTTTAACAAAATGTATGCCACAACGCTTTAAGGAACTTGATAAAAATTATGTATGTAGATTAGTCAGATGAAGCAATGGAAAGAACAGCTGGGCACAGCTAATTTGCTGTATTTTTCTTAAAGGGAAACTCAGCTTTATAGTAATCTTCACTCAGATGAGGGCTTAAATGTAATTTAAGGATGTTCTACAGGGAGAAAGAAAAGAAGATTATTTCTAAAATTAGTTTAGATTATTAATTGTAGTTTCATTCACTTTCAGTTACATTTGATTTCCCTTGTTTTAGTTTTAAAAGCAATATTGAATCGGCTGGCTTTAACTGGCTTTTTTCACCATAGCTTTTGGGCTGATTTGTCTTGCCTTTAATTCTTATTTCATAATTATTTTCAGTGCACTTCCATAAGCTATAAATATAATTTTGCTGTTACAAGTAGATGCAATTAATTACTTGTGCTTCATTTCTTCACTTTAAATCTGCAAGGTATGAATTTGCTTCTTTGGTAATCTTGAAAGTGAGAAGCATTAAAATATCTGTCATTCCCTTTAGGGTTTTCCAGGAACTAGAGGAGAAAAGGTCAGTGTAACAATAGAATAACGTGTAATTTGCAATTGGGAACAGTTGTCTAAAACCAGTAACTAAAAATAAAGTCGAATTTTGATGGAGTGATGGCTGAAGGTCTCGTTAAGAAATGCAAAGATGCAGTGCAAAAGGTGTACGGTCTTGTGACTTGGGGTGAGATGCTGAAGAAATGAGTCTTACACCCCGTTTTCTTGTGAACAAGTTACTACAGCGAGCCCCACTACAGTTTCCCCATCTCTAGCATGGGTATAATGATCCTTAATTGTTAATTGGGTTTATTTAGGCTATATTCTTTGACGCAGAGACTTATTTTTGTCATTCAGTGGGGTCTGAGTTTCAATGAAGATAATTCGGGAAACAATTAAGTCTCAAGTACTGCATCAAAGGAAGCCCATATTTAAAGTAATTATCTGAGGAGAATAAGTGCCTTTTTCTACTAGTCTGACTCTTAATCCTATTGTAATGTCAATGAAGGTAATAAGGGAACATTTTAGGTTATCTACTGTGCACCTCACCTGAAGATACTACTGCATTGTGCGCCATGACAAATAATGCCTCACATAGGATAAATGTTTTTCATTTCCTCATGAAATGATAGTAATTACGCTGTTGCTACCCTGTTATCTCTCACCAGGGTTCCAGAGGGGACAGGGGTGACAAAGGAGTCAAAGGAGACCAGGTACTTTTCCAGATGACTGTGAGTTTTAGCTGAATGAGTGCGTTAACACTGAGGTATTTCTGATAGCAAAAAAGAGGGGTGACATGGAAGCATGTTCCTGGGACGGTAAGAAGGCAGTGGTCCCACATTATGTGGTCCTCTGTGTCCATGTACCCCACCTACCCCAAGGCAAGTGGCACTCCTGACTTGTATAGAACAGAACAGTGATGGCTTGACAAATGTTTTTTAGCTGGTGAGATGATACTACTGTAAGGAAAAAGAAAAAAGAGAAAAAGAGGGAAAAGAAAAAGAAAAGAGAAAAAGAAAAATGAAAAGGGGGGAAAAAAAAAAGGAAGTCTATTTGTGGGTTGGGAGGTCTTTAACAAAGAAAAGAAAAGCAAATTCCTTTTGATGTAAACGGAGAATTGCCATTCCCAAAGACAAACTGTGGGCATTGTCCAAGTGGCTGCGGACAGAAGCACAACTGGTGTGGTTTTGGCCAAGAAGAAGCAGGCTGTGGAGGATCAAACAAAGGATCAGTGTTACTATCCGAGGATCTTTATAGAAAAATCTTGTAAATCCAGAACAATTCTAACTGTCACTGCTACTGATGAATCACATTGTAGGTTTATTTGTTTGTTTTTAACTGATACCAGTACATGGCATTGTTAATTTTTCCTTAAAGGCCTAAATTGGTGCTGCTTTGTCAAAGATCACTCCGATTATTTTGATGATTTTTCTCTCTTCATTTTGCAGGGAGAAACAGGCTCCCCCGGAATGCTGGGACAGAAAGTAAGTGGGCACAATATATTGGGGAATTGCAGTAAGTGCTGGCATACAGTCAATAAATGGCTTTGGAGACATTCTGGAAGGCATAAGGCATTGAAAGTCTTGCTTGACTCAATGATGAGCACTTCTTAGATGTGATCAAATTCTTTTTTTTTTTTTTCCTTTAGGAGAAAACCCAAGATTTATCTGCTTGTTTTTTCTCTTTTTTTTCTCTTTTTTTCACAGAATGTAGGTTTAGTCACAATTTTCTTTCTATTTAACATAGTCAGGCACATGATATATATTCATGAGCAGCCTAATTGTTTGTTTGGGTTTTATTTTTCACTTATTTTTCTAATCCTGCAATTCCAAATGTGCATCTTAACAGCAAACATGATATTGGAGAGTTTTGCTGGTCTTCACCTCCCTTTTAGAATATTTCTGGTCTCCCATTCAGCTTCCTCTTTAAAGAGGAATCTTTCAAGGAAATTTTGATAAAATAGATGTTTTTGGCCTTACTCTTGTTTTAAAATATGTTGTGAATTTCCAAGAAAAATACAATGTCAACATAATTGCAAGAATTGCATGAACAAAAACATCAGCCATCTGCTGTGCCATAGAAGGCAAGTATGCTCTACTTATGTTCTTTTTCTTTCCCTCCTCACCCACCAAGGGAGAGATGGGCCCAAAGGGACAATCTGGAGCACCAGGACACAGAGGACCTATAGGAAGACCTGGAAAACGAGGCAAACAAGTAGGCCCTTGGTGTTTCCTTTTCAGTTCCCTGCATTTCTCAGTGTGTGTATGATGGTGGGGTATGACTGTGTGGTTTGTGTGGGCGCCTTGCTCTTGGTCCCACTGGCAGGACTGTAGCACCTTGCATGCATGTCCAAGTCTTGTCTTCCATGCTCAAATCCCTTGCTGTGCAGCATAGCTCAAGTAGCTTTTTGCCTAGTTTGATAACTAGTTCATTGAATATAATCAAAGCATACCTTGAACCTAAAGAGTAGACCCTTTGAATCCTAAAAATCACAGAGCTACACTCTGAATCCCATCTGATAACTGGAGAGTGGGACAAACTGGATTTGTTCTGTCCACTGCATCCCATTTAATTCTATGAGGCTTTGGCCAGGCTTGGTGCTGGTGACACAGACCATCTTGCAGAGCTGCAAGGCTTTGAAGATGTCTGAAAGAGTGCAAAGAATCAAAGCACTGCAGCACCCCTTTTTCTCTCATTTAATACTAGAACAATATTTAATTGTTAGACAAGGATATTTATGTGATACTTCTCACTGTAGTACAGCATGCCAGGGGTCTGCTCAGGAAGACATGCACTGACATTAAGGGGCAGTGATATTTTATGAAAGTGTCTTAGAGATGAAATGGTTGCACATGCTCCTTATTTGGGGATCAAAATAATTGTGTTGGCTGAACTGATTTTTTTAAACTTTCAGATTAATTGTAAGGATTGGGAATTGTGTGTTGGCTTCTCCAACACTGCATTTTCCAAGAGGGTAATAGTGTTAGTGATAGCTGCCTATTCAAGTCACCAGATAAACCTCTTGAATTTCATCTTTCCTTGTATATTTATTAGAGGCAATGACATTGTGGAGGAAAGGGGAGAGTAGACACAAAGTCCAACCTGATGCCAAGGAGAGTAGTCCCTTTCCTGCTCTGAACTGCCATCTGTGGAGTCTATTTTCTTTCCTCTGACAGGGCAGGGAACAGACTCCTGCTGTATTGACACTGTTTTTAACATGTGTCTGCTCAGATACTGGAGCTCGTAGATGCTGTGGTTTTATTTGCAGTCTGGTTATGCCCAGCATTGCAGACAGAGGCACAAGCTTGCTTTGCTGTTGGTCTAATGTTGTCAGCTTATATCTGAAGAGAAAGAAAACTCAATGTGGGGAAAAATAAAAATTGGATGTTGGGTGCTAAGTCATCACATAAAGAAGATATGTGCAGTCTAAGTCTGTGCAATGTAAGCTGTGCTCATCTCTTCCTCACACAAGGGATGTGCACAGAATATTGTTCTGTAGCATAAGGCAGAGAAAAGACAGAGTGCCTGCAGATCAACAGGAAAACAGTGCAGTGTCCCTTTTTTTCCAAGAGGACTTTATACGTGATCTTAGGCATTTTGTCACATTACACAATGTGTGGATCAAAAAGCAGTCACATAGGATGTTGTGGGTCAGGGCAGCAATCAGTGTGACTGAAAGAAATGTAGTCTTGCACTGAAGTAGGGATTCATGGAGGCTTGGTTATACAACCCCTATCTGTCACCTTGAAAGCAATTTCAGCATTGATCTTCTGCAGAAAAACAGGGCTTCTCCTTCTGTAATTAATGAACTATTTATTTCCTTTCTCCTCTTAAAAAAAAAGTACAATAAAACCACAAAAAAACTTTAAAAAACAAAACGTAAAACTGCAGGTGGCATTTTAAGGCTGTGTAGATCTGACTGCTGCCTTTAAGTGCTGTAGTTATCTGGCTGTTTGTTCAGCTGATGTTTTCCATCAACATGGAGCCATTTCCTGTCTCTTGATCCAGCTGACATCTCCAGATGAAAGCAGCTAAATTAGGAAGGTGTCATTTCCACTTCCATTTTGAGATACGTCTTGATGATCGCATTCACTTCTTCAATTCTGCTGTGCCTCGGGGGCAAGTTCTTCCTAAATGGTGGCCAAGAGTTGGGAGCCACAAGCCATCACAGCCTCACTGTCCCCAAACAATTCATAACACTCAAAGCTCCGTGACTTGAGAGTTGACTCCTGAGGAGCAAGTTTAGGATTTCCTTTGTGAAGGAGGAATGACTTAAACTTTTAGTCAAGATTACTTCAGAAAAAAGGGAGAGGACTGTAAATATCAACTTTTTGAATGGTATGGTCACAAGTCCTTCAGTCTACCTATGCTAAGCAAGAGAGCATTAAGCAGGCATTCCTCCAAAACAGGAGTCACAGAGTTCAGCTAAATTTCAAGCAGCATATGTCAGAATAGCACTGGATTTCTCTGCTAGATTCTTACAGTGGGGGGGAATAAGATTTCCCAATGTTTTCTTTGAAGGTTTCAAAGTCTTGGTCTGCCAGTTTTCTGTATTGTTGTTGCGTGATGTAAGAAGCAATTAGTGATCAACATTGCTGACATTCACATAAATCCTGGAATATTTTAATGGCACAGAGTTTATCTAATAGAATTAAACAAAGCAAATATTCAATTAGTTTTTTATGGGCCATAAAAAAAAAAAAAATAACCTTCCTCTGTTGAAATGGTGCAAGAGACATTCAGATGTATTCGTGGGATGCGGGATATTCTGTAACAACAAATTATTTTGGCATATATTACTATGTATGCTTCATTACTCTGAAATTAGCTATACAACTGCCCATCATCTGTCCTTGAATGAACATTAACTCAAAATCACTCTGTTGAAGGAATTAATCTCAATGCCATTGAAAGGAGTATAGCACAGCACATTTTTGTTTTACTAAATGATACACTGTTACATAAGAATAAAATCAGTTATCTCAGCTTTAAGCTATGTAACACACTTCTGAAATATAAAGCTGAGAAATGCAAGCCTCGGAGAGAATATGAGCAGGAAGATAAATATAGTTATTTTTAATAAGTGTCACCATATTAAATTCTGGAGCAAAAATAGGGAGGTGTTGAATAGGTCTAGGGTAAAACTTTCAAATGCCTCATGGTATGGCTACACAAACAAGCTTCCCTGAGGCAAATTAGGGCTGATTTTACAGAATATTACATTATTGTGTGGTAACTCTATAAACTTGTCTTCTATAGATAATTTTACAGCATTTTGACCGAGTGATAAGGCTCCAGAGCAACATCATTTGTCAGCGTACAGCTGGGCAGTCACTGTGTGCTAGCTTACACTTTGCAAAAGCAATCCCTTGCTTGCCTTGCAGTGATTTGTTAACAAAGGTATATTCACAGCAACAGCCAAGGGGATACATGAATTGAGGTTCTAACGTACTTCTGAAAATACTGTGGGTCTCCAAGTAATTAGTGTTCTTCTGAAGATCCATGCCTTAAGACTGGGAAATGTCACTGTAGAAGCCCTTGTGGACTCCTTATTTAATTTTCTCTTTCTGAAGGTGCAGTGAATCAATTTCTTAGTCTACCCTGCAAACTCAGCCTATGCCCCTGAAGTCAGAGCCACTTACCAAGGATTTCAGCTCCACCAGCCCCTTGTCTCTGAGCTGCACTGCCTCCTAGGGAATGACAGGGATAAAAAGGCATCCTTGAAGGAAAGCCCCTGAATGACTGAAATAAGATCAGGGTGATCCCTGACTGCACACCGAGCAGATCTGCTGGTACTTTTCACTTTCAGAAGGAGAAGTCCTGCCTGGACCCAAGTAGAAGAGGACAACACCTCTCTTCTCTGGAATGATGGCTATGAAGTTCATTATGTATTCTCCTATTGGTAGATGCATTGGCTTTCTTGAAAGGGAAGCCAGTGCAGGCTGGGGGAACTTATGTGACATTAATTGCTTAGGAAATAAATGAATGTCTCCTCTTTCTTAGGGGCAAAAGGGAGACATTGGACCTGTGGGTATCATGGGCCCACCTGGAAGGCCTGGTCCTTCTGGCCAGCCAGGCCCCCCTGGACCTTCAGGATTAGGTAAGTGGGGATCAGCCCATCTTATGCAGTGTCCATCCTCCCCACCCCTCCCGACTCAATGCATATGCGTATGTAGCCTCTACAAAAAATGATCCACCAACAATAAGGACAGTTTTCTCTGCAAGGCACATCATGCCTTCGCTATCCATTATAAGGGCTTTAAATCTGACTCTAATGCCTACATTGTGACTTTTGATGCCTCAAATAAAACCAAAAACCTGGCCTAGATGGTTCATGTGGAATTTTGGCAGATGGGGATGATGAAAAGCTATCCGGCAGTCTTGAAGGGACTGGCTGGTCTCTATCATCTGCTGCTTCTCTAGATGTCCTGGCTTACAGTGAAAAATCGAGATTTCTAATCAGCCAGGACATATTTACCCCGTACAACTCTGTACAAGTAAAGTAGGTGAGACTCAAGAGAAGGACTGAGGTAAGAGTTAAAGGAAAAACCGATGATAAAAATATCTCTTTTTAATAAGTGCTGTAGATGTATGCTGTCTTCATTTCTGCGTATTGTGGAAATCATAAGAAAAGCTCATAGTTGATTATTGTACAACTTCAAAACTATGTTCACAGAAACTCTGAGCAGCTTGCTTTTTCTTGTGAGACCAAGAATAGACATGAAGGATTGTACACAAAATATTCAGTGAAAATGGAAGTGTTTTCCCAACCTGCATATATGCTCAAGTGTTGGTAAAGAAAGGCAAGCTCAGCTGGAAACAGCTGTTGTCACAAACGGACAAGAGCAGTTTGTACCTCGGCAATTTGATGTCTTCTTTCCATTTTCTTTTCCCTTTTTCTTCTCTTGCTCACATCAGTGGACAGAAATCCTCTTCCAAATGGTACTAATGGAAATGGTACATCTTCAAAGCTGAGGCTGCTTCAACATCTACACATCTCTTGTCTCTCAGTACAAAATACCGTTAACCTGAGTAATTCAGCTGGAAGTTTTCAGAGGACAGAATTTTACCATGCTGATGGGAAGGAGGCCAGGATCTTGAGATTGCTTTTAAAAGGATTTATTGCATCCCCAGAAAGTTTATGTATCAGGCTTGTTGGTCTTTTCCCTCTAGAATATAAATTCTTGTCCTAAATGACCTTCCTGTAATAATATCACTGCTTGCAATATGAACATGTTGGCTCATATTTAATTCTGCAGAGCACTACATCCTTCCCAGAGTTTGAAAGTCAAAAAGCAGTTGGTTTTTATGTATTTAGTTGTAGCACTCCTTTGTTTATTGTTCAGTTTTCCTATACAAAAGCCTTTGAAACAACACTGTTGAAGTGTCCACAATGTGTTGTGGACATCTACAGAGACTGACTTAATGTCAGTCTTACCAAACTCACCACAAAGCTGTTCTGACCAGGCTGATTTTTGCCTGGAAATCTTAAGCAAATGGCAATTCTCTTTCTCCAAAATAGTGGTTAAAGTGTGATCTGAAAGATGATTGTGGCACAAATTCTTTCTTCTGAAGTGCTGGAATTGGTGATTCTGGAAAGTACTTCCATTCTCAGTATTGTTTGTGGGAGAAACAAAACTCTAAACTTATGTGAACACATACATCCACCTGACCATACTTTTCCCACTAAGGCTGTGTTTGGGTTTTGTTTGTTAATTTCATAACAGTGCAACAGAGTTTTTTGCTTCCTAGGGCAATTTGCAATAGGACCAAAAGGGGAAAGAGGACTTCCAGGACCTCCAGGAAGATGCCACTGCAGACCCCCACAACATGTGAATAATCCACCATATGAGGAGTCTGTGTTTGGACACAGGTATCCAAAAGTCCCTGCGGTAAGCAGATTTCTGGGAGAGGATGTGAATGGTTCTCAACATGCTTTTATTATAAGAATCATTGTATTAACTACCACGTTGGATGTAACAGGAAGATGGCTGTATCTGGGCAATGCATTACGTCCAGCACCCGATCAATCTGTGCTCAAGTATATGGTCTCTCAACCAATCTGAGGGTTATGTTATGGAGGTGCTGAAATGCAGCAGTTTCAAACCACCAGTAATGCGGCACCTTTTTAGAAACCTTTCTCTTACCATGAGGATGCTCTTTTCTTACTGCACACACGATCTGTTCTTTTTATTTCAGTCAACTGCAGTATATTTCAGATTGGCTGGTGAAGGAAGCATCTACTTCTTGCTTATTTATCATATTTTCTTCTACACAGACAGTGATTTCAGAGTTGAATACTGGGGGTTGAACATTTCACATATACAACAGAACTGTCCCTCAAAATACAAACCCTCCACCTTGAAACAAAAAGAGAGTCAGAATTCTGAGTGCTGGCTATGGGCATGCACTTACAGAGATAATTTCAGTTGCTAGCCTTCTTAAAGGAATTCTACAAGCGAATTGCAGAAGGTAATATAAAGGATAAGTCACTGTTAAAAAGTGACGTAGCAGTTTTCCATCTCTGATATCTTTAGGTGTTGCAAATTTCTGGACTTTTCCTTCAGCTGGGCCTTGATTTTTCTATTTTGTGCACTGTAGCACTTAATTAGCAACGAAATGCCACCTTTCTGCTGCTGCTATGCACAGGCACAGCCCTGCCACTCAAGCAAGTGGCAATCGCCCGTTGTCTTGTCTCTGAACGTGCAGTGATTAGCTCTGTTAACTTTCCCATCCCTCACGTTTCCAGAGCTTTCTGTGTGAAAGGGACATGATGACCATACACCGTTCCTTTAACCAGGTCATTGAGCTGAATCTTCTGCATACGTGTGCTGCAAGTCTTGTCAGCTGCTTGCTCGTCCCTATTACACTGCAAAAAATGGCAGTAGAAGAAGGTGCATGAAATCAAGGTGCATACTGCATCATGCAATATTGCAAAAAAAATGTGATATAGTTCACGGGGAGCTCCTAGGCTAAAGAATAAGGCTCACAATGTTATGTGTCATTCTTATCGTCCTCCTTCTTCACCAGGCACTGTTTAAGAGTAGAGCTTAAAAGAGCATAGCTACCTTGAATATAAGTAACCCACATTATATACACCCTCACACGTGATAACCAAGTGCCATTTCTCTTGAGGGATGGCAAAGAGAAAAGCCAGCTCAGAAACCCTCCTTGTGCCACTTGCAGACTGCAGTCAGGGTTGCTATAGCTGTACGTGGGAAGATGCAGAGAAGGTCCTCCATCCTTCTGCACATCCCCAGCACAGCTACCCACTTGCCCATCAGTGCTACACTGCTTGGGGTGAGGGTAGGAAACAAAGGACTGCATTTCTGTCACTGGCTGTGATTCAATCAGGTTTTTTAATTCTTTGCATTTTCAAAGGGCAATATCTATAAGAGATTTTCAGAGGGCACAATCCGCTATTGATTTCCAGAGAAACTACAGCTCTGAGGCTGGGACTTCAGTTCCTGGACACAGCTACAGAGTTGGTTCTTTGCTGGCTCTTTATTTCTTTGCTCTCTTTCATTCTAGCTGAAGGCACTTTTATTCAATTGGCCTTTGTCGGGGGCTATGGGAATATTCTGCTATGCAAAAACTTCTGAGTAATTTGTTTTAAAAAGAGCCAGTTCTGATTATGCTGGTGGGAATCAGGCTTTGACCCAAATCTACTTGCTCTGAATCATTCAATTTGCTTTTTCTTAATTAAAAAATGGTTTGAATCTTACTAAAATAAATTTGATTCAGCTTCCAAGGGAAGGAGTTATTTTCTAATGCCCCTTACAGCAAATTTTGGTAAATGAGACATGAAAGCAATTTGCGAAAAGAGCAGCTTGTCCTAATTCTCTCAATTTGTTACTAATATTTTTTTGTTTAACAGAAGACTTGAGTTTAGACTGAAGTATGTGCATGTAAAGAAACACAAATTTCAATGCTCATGAAGTCTAAACAAAGTACAAGGTAGAAAAAGATAAGAGAAGGTTGCACTAAGCAGTGCTTTATTTTATTCACAGCCATAAACGAGCTTAAAAATTACACACAAACCTAGAAAGAATACTTATGCACACATGAATTTTGCAATTGTGCCAGCATCTAACTACTGGAACATCTGAAATTGTTCTCAGCAGTGACCGTTGGCATTGTTTGAGAGTTTGCATGCTCATTATCTGTGGGTGCGTAAGAGTTGGGGTCTCTGGAGCTTAGCTGGGTACTCAGGAGAGACCATGAGCTTTTGAAGACTCGTGTCTCTTACCAATTGCAAAGCAGCATCTTACATATGTACATTCTCACCCAGAGCTGGCCTGCCATTCTGCTTCAGAAAGCAAACTCTTTCTGTGCAATTCTTCACATATATTTGCAGATACATAATTCTGTCTGCAAAACTGGATTCCATGACAATTCAAAACACTTCTCAAGGCGGTTACCAATCACCTCTTTTTCTTGCCCCAGATTTTTGTGGTGAATAATCAAGAAGAATTGGACCGATTACACACTGAAAATGCCTTAGCTTTTAGAAGAGACCAGAGATCTTTGTATTTCAAGGATACCTTTGGATGGCTCCCAGTCCAGGTGAAAATATGACTGTGGTTTCAGAAAACTTGTGAGTGTATGTTTTATTTTTAAATACAGCACATATATTATCATACAGAATCACTCAAGTGAATGAAGAAAAATCTTATTTTTCAGCATTATCGACACTGCATCTAATTCTGTGGGTTTTGTTCACAGGAGTCTTCGTTACTTACCAGTGCTATAGGTTTTGCTGACCTTTTTCTGAACCAGCTGCTGAACCAGCCAGCTGGAACTGAGTTTGGGTAATCACAATTGTAACAAACAGTTTTGATTTAACACAGAATAAGGCAAAACTCAGCAGGGATAAGAGTTGTGGGAAGACACAAACCCTGCAAATCAAAATCATGTATGTTCTTACTGCTTCAAGGAGCTAAGTACCACTGAAATCAATGACAGGATCCTTATTTTTTCCACTGGGCTTTGAATCAAATTCTGTACAAATCCTGTTTCCCATTACATAGTGGGATATGGAAACAGGTTTTTGGTACCCACCTTCCTCATCTCTATTTGTTGAGCCCTGCTGCTGGTATTCCTACACAGTAATCTCAGTGTGGTTTTTTTGTCCAGCTCACCCCTTTCTACCCTGTGGATTACCGTGTTGAGGTTGGCAGTACGTGTGGAGATGGGATCGTTCAGGATGGGGAAGAGTGTGATGACGGCAACACGGTCGTGACGGATGACTGCATAAGTAAGTGGGAAGCAGCCTCTTTCTACATGGAAGGCACAGTAGTTGTTTCTGTGGAATAACATGCACAATGGCCACAACACCAAAATCAAGATCTTTCATGCACATGGATGCCACATGCAGGCAGAAGTCAGAGGTGATGCCAAATGTTTCACATGTATCCTCATTGAGAACCATGTCCCTGACTACAGAGGTATTTGGCACCAGAGCAAAGCCCTTGCATTCCAGGGACTGGATCCAGCCATTGTTTTACACACAGACCTTCAATGGGACGGGTGTCTTTTTGACCACAAGATGTGGTACCTTTGCAGCATACACAAAACTCCTTTGAATAAGCGTGTGCTCTGGCTCCTTCCATCACTTTCAGCCCACTGCCATTACTTAGCTTTACACTACATTTGATTCCTGTCTAGCTGATCTTCGTGCTTCCCTGGCTCTGGACAGCGAAGGCAAGGAGTGCAGAATATAAGCCTGGCACACAAAGAGCTATCACAGCCTTCACATCCACCCTTGCTTTCACTGCTTGGCTCCTTCCCCAGAATGCAGATGTATAAATGCCCCTTCAAGCTTGCCTGCCTACAGAGCAATCCAGTGAGACTGAGTTTTCCAGGCTCCAAGCATGAGAAAATGATTTAATTAGAATTTGCAGTCTGCCATGGGGAACAAACATGCAGGACAAATAGTGCTCATTAGCTCTAGTGCCTGTGAAATTGCACATTGTGCATCTGGAACCATCATGTTGCTGTGTGCTATGCACTGGGCAGAGTCCATAGCGGCCTGGCAGTACACAAACTTCTGACGCTGATGTGACCTGGAAAGTTTTAATTGAATTATAAAGTCATAGGATTATCAAGATTGGAAAAGACCTTCAAGATCGCCAAGGCTAATAATTAACTTGACCTACTGAGTCACATTACTATACCATGTTACTTAATGTCACAGATTACTTGAATATCAGCACCTCATCATCTTTCTGATCTCGGAACTATATCAAAAGAGGTTAAAAAATGCTAAGTGGACTTGATTGTAAAATCGGCTCATTGTTTTTAAAGCATTTTCCAATTATTAAAATACAGCCCACAAATTACGGTGCCTATGTACCAGACAGGCCCACACCAAAGTGTCTTAGTTTATGCTTTACCCTAAATCTAGCACCACTTGCCTCTCCAAAATCCATTACATATGGAGTGTGACAAAGGTATTTCCTTCTGTGTTTTTCACTAGGATGTCGCCGTGCTTACTGCGGAGATGGCTACAGACATGAAGGGGTGGAAGACTGTGATGGAAAGGATTTTGGATATCTGACATGTAAAACATATCTCCCTGGGTATGTGTGAACTGTCTTCCCTTTTGTTATTTTCTTTTTTGCCTTCAGCATTAAAAGAAAAGAGGATCACCCACATAAACCTTGTTCCTCTGGGACCACAGCAGGTAGTGAGAGAGACAGAGCCTATCACCTTATTTTTGTTATGTTAAGTCTATATTTCATTTCTCAGTTATAAGTACTTGCTTACACAGTGAATGATCATACAGATATATGTTTATCCATTGTTTTCAAAGATTTATTTATTTGCTATCTTTATTATTGCATTAATACTCACCCTTAACATACTAAGGACAGGATACACCATGATGAAGAGATGATCATGTTGGAGGAAAGAAAACCAACCAACCAAACCACAGCCTCCAAACAACCTCCTGTACTTTTAATGAGTCCTCTAGAGGTATTTTTGTTTCTGAAACAACTGTTCATCTATCAGCCTTTTGAAAGACCAGGAAATTCACTCAGAAGAGAGGGTATACATCTGCTTAGCAACACCCTTCCTTTCAAACATCTGTGCACAGTTGACTTGCCTCCTCTGCCTTTGTTCAAGCAGCCTCCTCTGGTGAGCATTTTGCCTCAAGCAGCAGCACCTCTATTTAACTGTCAGGTATTGTTACCCCATAACAGGAAACATTTAATTTGCAAATGAAATTATGTGCAGAGCCTTCATCATTCATGGAAGAATAATGTGCTAATTGACAGGAATAAGAAACCACAGGACATCTTTGTAAATCAAGTGCTGTGCTAATCCTTCCATTGCAGTTGTTGGAGCATGCCTGGAGTAAGAGATTACTAAAATTGAGACTAGTAAACCTGACAGCCCAAAACATTTTAAAGAGCTCCCATCTGCAGACAGTGTGGAGCTGCTCGCCTGTGAAAGCTGTTCCATCTTAAGAATAGGAAGTTTGCTGCCGAAACGAGACCCACAAAAGCTTGAGAAAGTTTTATAAATTTCATTTTCCACATATAATCAAGTAGTGAAAAACCATTTAGATCCTTTATCTTTGTGTTTGCAGTCTGTAGGTTACTTGCTTAATCAAAGAAAGAGCTGTGACTCATCAGTGTCAAAATGAGGTGAATACATGAGCTTGGCACTGCAACAGGAGCTTCACCCTCTTCTCCAACACCTCTTCTGCAACTGATTTTCCCATTATCTGTACTTTTTCCAGTCCCAAGTCCCTCCTCACGTTTCATAGATCTTCTCTTCAAATTTTTGTTGTTTCTGAGGAAGTGGTTTATCCAAGGACACATTTCAAAGGACTGGTGCATTTACTACAGTTTGTGGATTATCTGATGGATGAGTTATTCACTTGCACTCATAGCAATATGTATGGGAACTGCTGAGTCACAGCCTGAGCCTCTGATTGACCACCTGAGGCAAGCACTGAGTCAGCCATGGGAGCACAGGTGAAGGCGATTCAGCTGTGTGACCAGAAGGGGTGGAAGCTGGCTGCACCTCTCCTAAACTGCAATTAAGGGCTGACTGCCACTAGGAAGGATCTCTTTCTGGAGATCTTCTGGTCTTTCCTGTGAACCTAGATTTTGGATACAGGTGAGCATTGCTTCCCTGTTTGTTTCTTTTCCTGTTTTCACCACAATAGTCTTTCCAGCTGTAACACAGTAAAAACTCAGCAAAATTGTTTTTTTTTTTATGTCATTAGCATCACTGGTTGGATGTTCAGTAGGTAGTCACGGCAGCTCAGTGTAAGCAAGCAGAAGGACAAAATCAAAAATGTTTTCTCTCATTTTATAAAGGCCCTTTGAAAGGCCTCCTTTTAGTTTAAAGGTATATATCTGTTGCTATGAAAAATAAGTTAAAGGATGAGTGCAGTCATGCCTGCTGGAGCCATTGGAAGTAACTGGAAAAACACTTAACTTGGGTTCTCAGTTATTTAGTTATGCTTTTCCTGTAAGTGAGTCCCAAGGGCTTCCACCTACACACGAGTGTTTGTTTTAATTCTGATAATTGGTTTTGTCGTTTGTTTGTTTGTTTTAATTCTAGTAATTGACGATTAAGACTTTATTCATAGTGACAAGGGGGAGCCTCAGGAAATCGCTTTCATCTTTTCATTGCCAGATGTCACTGCACTTGGTGTTTTCTGATGTTCTTGAGTTCTTACAGCACACAGAGAACATGTGATGTGAGCTACGGCATGTTTTGAAACTGAGATATTCTCTTTTATTTTAGGTCTTACGGAAAATTGCGATGCACTTCTTACTGCTACATTGACTCTACACAGTGCCGATACTTCACATGAGGGGAGCAGAGAAGGGCAGCATCCCACACGTCGTGAGGTGCGAGGTGCTATGCTATTGTCTAGCTGAGAAGGTCTGGGATTTAAAAAAGAAAAAGAAAAAAAAAAGAAGAAAAAAGAAAAAAAGCCATCTCTGTGAAAACAAACAGACTTCGTGCTTCTGATGGCCATTTTGAGATGTTTGTCTTTTTTTTTTTTTTTAAATTAATTAAGCCAGATTCTGAAAAACTAGGACCACTGTATCCTGTCTTAATAGATAAACAGTGTTTGCCAGTAAGACTCGTGGGCTGTGTGTGGGGACTTCTCTGTCACAGATGCTACAGGAAACCAAATGCCACTAACCAGGAATACTGTGTACAAGACAACATTACCTCGGCTTAGCACTGTTCAGCCTAAATTAAGTTCTTCAGGGTTTTTGTTTTTCAGCTTTTTCAGCATAAACACAAAGCATGTGTTGGACACAGTGTTTATGGAGACTTTCTCTTTTATTACAATGTGAACTTCCTTCATGTTGTCTCCAGGGGGGTGTGATGGTGGCTTCAGCAGCACTGTGGTTAGCTGCACACCTTTGTGGCTCAGAGGAGCAGGGGCCTTCCTGCAAATGCTTTAAAGATGAGCAGATGAGGCAAAAAAAACTCCAGGAAAATGGTTGGCTATCACACCAAGCCACAGGCCACGAAGGCCAAAGGGGACAACCAAATGGTGATGCAGCCAAGGTGCTCTCACTCCAGGAGGACATCAGGCTGGGAGCAAAGATGCAGGATGAGCTGATTTCACTTTTTGCCTTTGCCAAGCCAGCTGCGTTCTGTGTGAGCCCAACAGGACTGCGGAAGTGCTGGGTCAGCAAGGCTGCCCACCTGGAACCTCAATGCAGCCAGGCCGGCACTCTGGTCATGGTGCTGGAAGGTCTTGTTCTTCTCTCATGGTCTACCCAGACTCCATCCTTCCACGATGGCTGTACCCATCCTGTGTACTGACTCCTCTGGCCTGCTCTCCTGCTCCTGTTGTGCTTGAAGCACGCTGCAATGTGCCGCCTCATTTTTGTATCCCTGTGACACCAATCCTGGCCTAATGTGCTTGTGGGTGCTCATTCACGCTGTATGATGTACGTATATCTCTGTTTTTCAGGACATTTGGTCAATTCTGCTAGCTCTGATAGGAGTCAGGGTAATTACCTACTTATTTATTAGCACGCATTCAAGAACAGATTTCATAGGGGAAGCATATTTAATACTGTATATACAAAAGAGTTCATAACAGAAGAAAATGGTACAAAGATGTGTGGAGTTCAGGACTAAGAGCTCAAACCAAGTGTGATTTTTTTTTCATGCAGGCCACTCTTTGCTGCTTTGCTGTAAATGCTGTACTTGAATGTTTCAAGTGTGTGAGTTACTTGTCACAATAGGAGCACCACAGCAGCTGCACTTACTTGGTTACCTCTTAAAGGTTGAGTAAAGGGTGGATAATGCATTAAAGCAAGCAGGAATATATGCAACTTCTACCACTTGTATAGGAGACTTTAGCTCTGCATGTCCAAAGTGATACTGGAAATCGTCAATTAAAAGCTAAATAAAATTAATGTATTTTACTGCTATTGCTTACCTGGGCTGCTTGTGCTGTGAAGCTCAACCACCAACAGCTGTAGCCTGTTTCAACAGTTCAAAGCCTTTCTTCTCATTGCCTTGTTATTGTTATTATTTTTTTATTTAAACAGAGGTCTTAATAAAAGGTCAAAGAACCAAAGGGGTGAGGAACTTGCCATAAGCTCTAGAAATCTGTGCACTAGGGTAGCTGCCTTGTAACATCCCATACTGGTGCAAAGGAATGGGTTTCAGCTGGTGGGATCCAACACTTTCTCTCTGGAGTCCATCTCCACTTGCAGACCCTGCAAGGCTGGAGCCCTTGAGAAATTTGGAAGTCTCAGTGGCCTTTCACTTTCAGCTTTAAGTCCTGTTGTTTTTAAAAGCTCCTACCTCCAAAGGACATTATAAAGCCAAAGTGCACCAAGGGCAGGAAATGAAAAACAAGTCATGATCTCACATGTTAAATTGTAGTGTGCTGCACACAGAGAAGAAGTACAGCATCAGCCTGGTCACAAAACGAAGCGTGGATTTCAGAAGGACTGTATTAATACAGCACAAAAAGTTCAATATCTTAACAAAAAGAAATGCAAGTTGGAAGGGAAAAAAAAATAAAAGTCATGGAACAAGTTTCTTACTGCCATTATCATCTTGTGTAAACCATCATAAAAAACATTTGAGGAGGTGTTAAGTATTCATGTTATAAAAGACTGCAAATACCTTCCTCCTTAATTCAGACGTATCTATTATTGAGGATTCATCAGCTGGATGGTGCCTGGAATGCTATGATTTATCTTCCCTCCTTCCGTGAGTTTCCTAATGCATTGTGCCAACTGTGGCTCAAAAGTGGATTGAGGTACTTCAGTTCCTCGGCCTTTTGTAGCAGCAAATGCCTGTGGGAAAGGTTTCTAATCGTTAGTGTGCAGCTGTAGATGAACACAGAATTAGTATGAGCTTACATCATACACTGTATTTAATGTACACTAAAAAGCCAGCTTGCACTTACTATGTGATTAAATATGTGTAGTTATCTACTGCATGTATTAACAGCTTATGTCAATAAATCATGCTACCTTCGTTCTGGCATTTGCTTGATTTTGCTTATATCTGGCTTTCAAAACACAGCTTGCAGGTGCCTAGCTGTGTGCAAGCTGGGGCTGTGTGTACTGAGAACTGATGTCATCCTGAGCATGGGGAGAACAAAGCAAAGTCCCAGCACGTACTCCTTCATGGATAATATCCAATGCATGTGGAAGGCATGAGCCTGGAGATGGGGAGCCAGGATAAAGTGCACTACAGAAGCACAGTCCTGGAAATCACATTAGTAGCTGCTTCCCTCTCCCCTGCAACCCACGTCTTGGAGCTTAAAAAGCATTGAGTCACAGCTCCATCCTTCCAGCACTCTTAATCAGCCCTGGCAGTGTCCTGTGCGGCTGACAGAGGGTCCTTGTCAGATGGTGGGTTCCAGTGGTTCTGCTGCTGGCATGCACAGGCTGTGAGAGACATTGAAAACAGGGTTACCCATTGCTCTCTGTGGGCTTGCTCCGTGCTGGGACTTTCAGAGCAGTACAGCTGCTGGCGTGAAATACTGTGGGATTACAGCATCTAAATAAAGCCACGGATCTGTACCTGCTCTGCCCAGGGATGAGCAGGCTTTGCTTTGGACTGCCTGTCACTGAGCTGCTGCTGGGCTGACCTACAGACATCCAGTATTTAATCCTCCGTTCTGTGTGCAGAGGAGGCTTGGCTGAGGGTTGCCCAGGACAAAGAGCAGTGGGCAGCAACACCTGGAGCAGTAGCTGCAAGCCCGGTTTTATGGCTGGCTGGTTGTTATAATTCAGCTTCCTGGCAGCCTGATGAAGCTTCATTAGGCTCCTGAGGCACAGTGGGAAACAGGTGCCATGTGGCGAGTGCCACGGTGAAGGAACTTTGGATAAATGTCGAAGGGCTGCCCCTGCATTTTGTAGCTGTAACATCCACGTTGGAGTCAGGGCTACAAGCAGGCAGCCACAGGCAGCCACCCCAAGAGGCAAAGGTGCTCCAGCTAAGGACTAAGGAGCTGAAAACCCCTGCTAAGTGCAAGGCTGCCTTGGTTTAAGTGTGGGCTGAGGGCTTGGTAGAGCAAAGCCCAGAGCTCCTCAGGGAAAAGGCTAGCCAGTCCCAGGTGTCACAAGGCAGCTAGCAGTACATCGACAGTAGGGTTTCAGCAGTGCCATACAGTGTGGTGACACTGAATTCTCCTCCCTGCCTGGCACATCCATGCCCAAGTTTCACAGCAGAACAACCTGTACTGCACAGCATAGGCACACGAGGGCTGAAAACATTGTGATTTTTATCATACAAAGAGCCCATGTGTAACATCAGCACTTTAGAGTGGAAGGCACTCCCACTGCCTACAGTTCAGCTGGACATGGGCACTGAGGCTAAAGGACAATGTGCCCAACCGCTCTCATTTATGCAGATGATCAGCTCTATGTGACATTTATGTAGGGACGTGAACCATGGCAGTTCATCAGACTGTCCCTTGGTGTCAAGAAACTGAATTCCAAGGCAAAAGCCTCTTAGTGCAGGACGCACTCACCAGCTGGTCAGGGAATATACAAAAATGACTTGATTTCCTAACGCTTAAGGCTCAAGAAAATGTAAGTTTATATTTAATTACCTTTTCAGAGGAGGGCCTACCTTTCAGAAGGAGCAGTAGCTTGGATGTGCCAGCTTCAAGTAGATCAGTGTAAGAAAACAACACACCAGATGGAGAAGCTTTTTGGCTGGCTGAGAAGAAGCTGTCCCAGATTCTTCACAACAGCCAGGGTTGTCCCCATCTTTCACTATGGGGCTGTTTGGAGACTCCTGCCCAAGGTGACCAATAAAGCATGAAGTGGGCAAACCCAGCAGTGGCTATTTACACGTCAACAGCATTATGTCTATTTAAGGAGAGAGAACATGAATCTTCAAAAGATTAAGCATTGAATTAAATTGAGGAAAATCAGTAGTGAAATGGCAGGAGTCAATAGGTGATTGGAAGCTCAGCTGTCCCCAAGGAAAGGGACAAGGCCCCTTACCACCCTGCCGCATGAACGTTTTGTTGCCCACACAAAGCCTTCCGTTCTGTAGCTCTGGGCAACGTACTCATCACACAGTGTGGGATGCAGCGTGTTGGCCAGCACTGAATCCCTGAGCTGAGGTTCGAGTTTCAGGTGGTGCTGAAGGCACAGGGCTCCCTCGCGCCTGGTACCAGCTGCCAAGCAAGAAAGCAAGTGGAAAAGTGTGACCTATAGGAAACTATGAGAGGCACGCCTGTCTCTGTAGGCTACAGATGAGCTGACGATACCAATGCTGGAAACAGATGCTAAATTAATTGGAAATTATTTTGGCAGAAAGCCATTACTGGAGCAGGAGCCTTGGTACAGAGACAAATTGATGCAAAATGTGTTTTTGAGTCTCAGACCTATTTGGGTTTGAGAAAACAGTGAGTGGGTCTCTTTTTGGCATAGCTGCAGGAACGTGCACAATTCATCTTTCAGAAAGCAGTAAAATCCATGCTCACATGCTGTGCGACAACAACAAGCAGGTCTGCTTGGGATCCAGCAGAGTGTCAGGTCATGACTCCTTGACTCCATGTCTTGTTGGCTGATGGTTCTGGAAGGATGCAAGGATCACCAATTTCAGCTCCTCCTGCTGCAGGCAAAGTATTGGTATCAATGGTCACCCCTTGCTCTAGTGGTGGTTAAATAACGAATGATCTTTGGAAGAATTTTACCAAACCTTGAAACCAGAAACGGCAAATATGGGCTAGTAGAAGGTGAAGGTTAGGGGGGTGCAAAAATGCAATGAATCCTGGAAAAGCCTTTTTCCCTAATGTGCAAAGTCAGGGGTCGAGCCTGTGCTGCCATAGAACAGCTTGGGTAGGAAGGGATATTAAAGCCCGCTCAGTTCCAACCCCTGCTAGGGGCAGGGCTGCCACTCACCAGCTCAGGCTGCCAAGGGCCCCATCCAACCTGGCCTTGAGTGCCCTCAGGGATAGGACATCCACAGCTTCTCTGGCCACTGTTCCACCACAGGCAGAAAAGGAAAGCTGGAAGCTTTCTAAGGCTGATGGATTTTTTCCCCCCTTGTCAACACACAAGAAACTCAAATCTATATTAGACCAAAAAGAAAAGGAATAAATGTTTGTTAATTAATGTTTAAAAATGTAAAAAAAGTTAAAAATGTTTGTAAATTCCTGTAGGGACAGGAATTTAATAGGCCTTCTGTCAAGATATATTTGGGTCAATGTACTGACATATAAGAAAAAATACACAGTAATTGTTGATTAAACTTCTAGACAGACACACACAGGCTTTGTTTCACTAATGACTGGAATAAAACTTTCCTCCTTGAGGCTCTGATTCAGAGAACAGCTTTGTGCAAACACATTGAACTTGTATTGAAAACCTGTGCTCTGTCGTGATTGATTGTATCACAGCATTACAGACCCTCATGCTTCATTTCAGCAGCTCTGCCTTGCCTGTGGGCCAACATGATTGCATGTCAGTCCCACACTTCTCCACTGCAGTGGGGTTTCCACAAAAGAAAACAACTTGGTAAAAGTTTCACACTGGCAGCACTGGTCACAACTTCAGTGCTGTGAGCTTGCATTGCTGTTCTTTCCTCAAATTCAGATAGTCTTTTACTGTTTTTCTCTCTGGTAAGAGACTATTCCACTATCTTCTGGTCACTGCTGATATGTCTTCTTTAAGCTTCCTATTTAAACAGCAGCACCTGTGTGTTCCTACAAGTCCAATACATTCAGCACACCACCACTTCATATTTGGAGCCAGAGATCTGGATTCCTGCAGAGACAAGAAAGCCCATGACCTTTACACACGAACATGACAAATTCTGTCAAAGCTTTAGCTGGAGCTCTTTCTGCAGCTCATATGCCTGTAGTGGCAACAGATTTGCTTATTTTAACCGAAAGAAATTGTGGAGAAATGCTTGCCCATGAGCTTTTTGTGCATGTGATTTCCATTCACTCACATGTGCACTGATGCTGGACAGACAGGGCTACGGAAAGATAATCAGATGTGACAGATAGTTCTGCTCTTGTGTCCTCTCTGTTTATACAGAGAGAGAAAAGGGAATGAAAGAAACAAGTTACATATCTACAATACATAAAAGGCCCTTTCTTCATCTCATCTCAAGATGACCCCAGAATTTTGAAAACCTTGAGGTATTCCTACAGAACAAATTCAAGTCCAGGCAGAAGGTCATCCTTACCTCTAGTTGTTACATACATATCTTCTGATGGTACCAGGCTGGTTTCTTAACCACAGCCTTCAGCTATTTACATTAGCCAAGGACCCACAGCTATATTGCCGATGCAGCTTTTATTCTCGTAATCAAAACAGGCTCCATGTGTGTGAACATTCTTCATACAAAGATACATACAGGCAGTTTCTATCAACCAGAAACATACTCTTTTTGACTGTTCACACAGTATCTAGAACAGATGCAGTCCTGAAGAGCACTTTAGGCCCTCTGTTGTAATAAAAAAAAAAACAAATCCATGCAAGGAAGAAGTGAGATTTTAAAACATGCTTATTTAAAATAAGTTTATTACAATGAAATAATAAAAAAGTCTGGCAGAAGTCTTAACAATACTCAAAAAAAAAAAAAAAAAACCCAAAAAAAAAAACAGATGCTGTATCATGTGAGAGATGACGCAGATTGGAAACTCCAAAATTTCAAGATTGAACTGCTTATGACAGCACAATTTGTGCAATGCTTACGCTGGTGGAGGTGATTTCTAGGGCATGACCAAGCCCTTAGAATTAAACTGTGAGGCAATATACCTTCTCTTCATCTTATATCTCAATAAGGCTCACTGTAAGCTCAGCTTATCATTAATAAAATGAATGCCCAAAACTGGATTGAAAGATGCAAGAAAATAGAAATGGAAACCACAAAAGTAAGCTGCTTTGGTTTTCAGTTCAGTCACCATATTCCAGAATGCAATTTGTTTGTCTTGTTTCAAGTAGACAAAAATCACCAACTTTCAAGGTGGCTTTAAATGAAGGA